ATCATGACCCGAGCCAAAACCAAGAGTGGGACGCTTAACCAACTGAGCCACCCAGGCAGCCCCTAAAGATTTTAGTTTTTTAAGTAATCTATACACACAACATGGGCCTCAAACTCACAACCTTGAGATAAGGAGTCACATGCTCCACCAACTGAGCCAACCAGGTGCCCCTTGTTGTTTTTAATTTACCCTCAGTCTCAGTGTGGTCAATGTAAATGAAACGATTTTGTTGATAAAACAAGCACTATACTCTAAAAAGTCAATTTCAACTTTTGCAAGCTAAGCATTTTATCATTTTTGAGGAAACTGTTAAGCATACCCTGGGGCAGTTCAGCATTAACACCATCCTTTTGCTGAAGAATTTATTTGACAATCATTTATATAGTGCAAACAGTACTAGCTCCAGTTCTAAGCATATTACATGTAATGTTTTATAACCTAAGAGGTCAGGTGGACAATATTGGCACCATTTTACAGATGGGGAAACTGAAGCACAGAGAGATTGAAGTGATTTTACCCAGGGCAACAGCAATAACCGAACCGAAGCCGAAACTGTCAGCCACCGTGGCTTCAGTCTGCCTTCTTAACCACTATACAGTGCCTCTTTAAGAAAACTCATCCTTTCGGGTGCCTGGGTGGCTCAGTTGGTCAAGCGACTGCCTTCGGCTCAGGTCATGATCCCAGGGTCCTGGGATCGAGTCCCACATCGGGCTCCCCCTGCTCTGCGGGGAGCCTGCTTCTCCTTCTGCCTCTGCCTGCCATTCCCCTTGCTTGTGCTCTCTGTTAAATAAATAAAATCTTAAAAAAAAAAAGAAAACTGATCCTTTCTATTTATAAGAAAAGCAGAATTAAGGGGCGCCTGGGTGGCTCAGTTGGTTAGGCAACTGCCTTCGGCTCAGGTCATGATCCTGGAGTCCCTGGATCGAGTTCTGCATCAGGCTCCCTGATCGGCAGGGAGTCCGCTTCTTCCTCTGACCCTCCCCCCTCTCATGTGCTCTCTCTCTCTCTCATTCTCTCTGTCTCAAATAAATAAATAAAAATCTTAAAAAAAAAAAGAAAGAAAAGCAGAATTAGGAATCAAAATGCTTGGATTCAAATTCCTGCTCAAGCCTTTTTCTTGTTTCCTAAAGCACCATATATTTTATCTCTATTTTAGCACTTGAACTTGTACTATAATTGCCTGTTTTCTGTCTCCTGTCTAGACAGTAAACTGTTCAACATTTTTAATTCGATGCTTAGCACGGATCAGGCACGTACTTCCTGAAAGACTGAAAGCATGGTTCGGACAAGCTTTGTAACTTTAGGCAAGTTACTTGTCTCTGAGCTGCATCTCTAGAGTTAGAATTCCTTCCCCTGCTTCTTTCACAAAATTATGAGGACAAGCTAAACTTGACACGTGAAAGCCCTTTGTCAAACAACACTAACTGGTGAACAAAACGACCATTCGAAGTCTCTGGAAATTATCCCAAGGGCATACAGCCAAAGGAGGAAACATACAAGAAAATCCAAAACAGTAAGTGCTGCACATTGAAGTCTGTGGCATTTGAACCCACATCTTTCTTCCTCCTCTCAGCTCACAGCGATCCACTCCGGGAGGGTGCCAAGACCGGGTTATGGCATCTTCCCAGGAGGTGCAGGCCACCAGCAGAGTAAAGGTAATTATGTAATTATAAAAGACAGTGTAGGGCGCTTGGGTGGCTCAGTTGGTTAAGCAACTGCCTTCGGCTCAGGTCATGATCCTGGAGTCCCGGGATCGAGTCCCGCATCGGGCTCCCTGCTCGGCAGGGAGTCTGCTTCTCCCTCTGACCCTCTTCCCTCTCGTGCTTTCTGTCTCTCATTCTCTCTCTCTCAAATAAATAAATAAAATCTTTAAAAAAAAAAGTGTAAATGCAAATTTCCGCTCTACTTAACTGATCTGCAGAGCAATTTGTAGAAAACTGTGTATAAATTGTATTTTGGGGTCTCTATCATATTTGCCACTAGTAGCACAAAGGAAGTAGATGGGAGCAAAGCTGAACTGGAGTAAAGAAATGACACAAGATGGTAACTTGAATTCACAGGAACAAATGAAAAGAACCAGAAAAGGTAAACAAGGTGAATATAACTAATACTACAAATACATCCTTGTTCTCTTCTCTGTTCCTAGAAGAGGCATTAAATTATATAAAGTAATAATTATAACCAAGTATTGCTGAGTTTGTAACATGTAGACATAATATGCATGACAATAGCACAAAAAGGAATAGAACTACCTAGATGTAATGTTTCTGTATTTCACTAGCACTTTTTTTTTTAAAGATTTGAGAGAGAGTGAGAGAAGAGCATGTGCACACATGTACAAGCAGGAAAAGGGGCAGAGGGAGAGAGAGAGAAATCCTCAAGCAGACTCCCCACTGAGCTTGGAAGCCCAACATGGGGCTCAATTCCAGGATCCTGAGATCATGATCTGAGCCAAAATCAAGAGTCGGATGCTTAACTGACCAAGCCATCCACTAGCACCCCTCACTAGCACTCTTAAGAACAGATCTGCTAAGTCAATTATATTTCAATTAAAAAATACAGTAGCAGGGGCGCCTGGGTGGCTCAGTTGGTTAAGCGACTGCCTTCGGCTCGGGTCATGATCCTGGAATCCCAGGATCGAGTCCCACATCGGGCTTCCTGCTCAGCGGGGAGTCTGCTTCTCCCTCTAACCCTCCCCCCTCTCATGTACTCTCTCTAATAAATAAATCTTTAAAAAAAATACAGTAGCAAAAAAATAAGAGGCTCCTTAAAGCCTCTTAACAAGATTATCTTCCTTAGCGTCATCTGCATCACTGACAAGGATCGCCTTTACCCATCTTGTGAATAAGAGCCTTCCCTCAGCTTTCAAAGTGAGAGTTTCTCACTCTGAGGGAACAAAAAAAGACCTGCCATGACCTCTCTCCCTTTTCTTCCAATCCTGAAGAGTGGGCTAAGGAAGCCTCTCTGAACTTGACTCCGGATCTGTAAAATGAAAATGATGACACTCACTTCCAGACTTGGTGGTTGTTTTAAGGGAAGTAGAAAATATGAAATTACCTAGCACCCTCAAGAGCCACAGTAAAATTCTCACTACTGAGCATAGTTGTGGGAAGAAACGTCTCCTTTTCCAAGTTTTTTCCCTTACTGAAATGCTCGATTTGGAGGTGATTGCTATCTTCTGCATTGGCCACTAGGTGGCACTTTTGGCTAACTCGTATGAGGAACCGCTACAACTAAGCCCTTGGAAGGAACCACAATGAGGATTGTACCCAGAAAGATTGCATTTGTGAAATGCTGAGCTAGGCAGCCATATTCCACAAACATTAGCATGGCACATACTAGGCAGCCATAGTAGATTAAGTGAATCTTGAGAAACAAGAGGAAGAACCCAGAGTTGGGGGCAGAATTGAAACGAGAGGTGAGGAAGAGTGGGGGATAGGGGTGGGATGAGAAGGTTCGGACCCAGGCAGAAGAAAATGCATGAATAAAAACACAGGAAAGACTGGGGCCTGTTCAGGAAATTGAGACAGTTACAGATGAGTAGAGTGAAATACACTATGTATGCAGCGCACTGGTGGGAGAGCAGGCTGGGACTGCACAGGGGGCGTGCCTGGAAGGATTTGGGAGGTCTGATAACAATGTTAATGAAATACGACTTTACTGCCTGATTTTCAAATCATTTTGATTTGTGCAGCTTTATCACACTGTGGCTCTTCTTCCAAGAAAAAGAGCACATGTAAAGGGTTTGTAGGTTTGGGACCTATCAGTGGCAAGTGCTCATATTTGCACTTACACAGTAGTCACCAATCACACGTAGATACTTGAAATTTGGGTAGTGTGACTGAGAACTGAACTTTTTTTTTTAATTATGTTATGTTAATCACCATGAGAACTGAATTTTAATTATTTTTAAGATTTTGAGAGGAGCACACGTAGGGGGGAGGGGCAGAGGGAGAAGCAGACTCCATGCTGAGTGGGGTGCCCAACTTGGGGCTCCATCCCAGGGCCCTGAGATTATGACCTGAGCCGACGTCAGACGCTTAACCCACTGAGCAACCCAGCCACCCCTATTTAACTCAATCACCACATATTGGGCAGCACAGCTCCAGACTTGTTTTTCCACTGCCAATTAAATTTCTCTCTCTTCAAACACCAAACCTTATCTATAGCAGAAGTCTACCTTATTGAACAGTGCAGATACGGGGGGTGGGGGGTGGTTTCCAGCCTCACAGAAAGTTCTGCGGGGTGGTGTTGATCTAGATATATGAGAACTAGAATTGTCAGCACCTGATTTATTGAATGTGTGGAGTGAAGAGGAGGAAGGGAACAGGACGGCAGGCTTGTGCCTGGAAATCCTGGGGGTACCACTCTAAGCTGTGGAATACAGGAAAAACAATCATCTTCTTCTTAGACATGCTGAGATTAAGGAGCCAAGGCACATGCAGGGAGACACAGACTAGACAGAAGAATGGCTGGGGCTGGAATCTAACAGTTCCTGTCAGTCAGAGAGAGAGAGATCTGGGCAGGATCACACCAAGACAGAGCCAGAGCTATGGAACTGATGGAATGCGTGCAGACTGAGAACAGAGGACTACACTAGCACTGGAGGTCAGGCGAGTATAAGAAACACAAGCAAAGGAAATGGGAAAGAAGCCAAGAAAAAGAAAGCCACAGTCTACCAGTTCACAACCGTCTTGAGAAAGTAGTCGACGGTTTCAAATGCCACACAGACGATTTAAGACAGAAATGGGCGGTTTCCATTGACATTTTCAACAAGAAAGTCACTTATGACTTTTCTTAGAACAGTAAGAGAAGCACCACTTCAGCCAAGACGTTTATGAGAGAAAAATAAAATTCGGTCTTCTTTAATGCACACTGTGTTTTGGGGTCACCTTGTTTTTAACAGCACAATCTAGATCGTTATCAAAACATCTCACATGCAAAAAACACCATTCTGAAAGAGCAGGTAAACACAATTAAGAGTCAGCAGGACTTTTACATTAACTTTTGAGTTCTTAATTTTATTTCTGAAAATATTTTTGAAAAGGGGTAAAGAACGTGAGGCCGGGTCAGCCAAATCCTCTGCTGTTGTTGATGGCTACTTGAAGTGCTTCTTCTACCCTTTCCATCGTAGAATATTTGGGAAGGTAGAGAACACTGACACATGTCTGTGCTCTTATGGGATCTTTTTCATTCACATTTTCAGGACAGCAAAATGTTATTTTCATGTTCTTTAAACCTTTTACTTGAATCCTGTCAGTTCCTGTAAGAAACACTAAAAAGAAGAATAAAATTGAGTGATCTGCTTCCCAGAGACCAAGACTTACAGAGGAAAAAAAAGTATTTATTCAAAAACATTTACTGAGAGCCCACATGCAGAGTCCCACATTAGACTGCATCGGGGACACATTTCCCTCAAGCTACTTACAGTATATGGTTGGAAATACTATAATTCTTGTGCAGAAAAAGACAAATAGCAAGGGAAAAAGCAAAAGGGTGTGAGACAGGCAGATAAGGCACTACGGAATTAAGTGCTTCCTAAGTGAAAATGCTGTGTGTGGTTCAGAGCAGGGGGAGAGAATCAAGGCTGGGATGACCGGGGAGACTTCTGAGAGCTCAGAATTAAGCTGGACCTTTAAGAAGAGGAAGGTGTGGAGCGGCAACAAGGAGGTGGGTGAGGATCCGAGGCAGGACAAGGAGCTTCAGAGAAAGCCTGGAGGTGGGAGGGCACAAGGTGAGCTCAGGAATGTAGAGATAATGGAAGTGTTTGGCTGAAATGATTTCCTGTAAAGCAAAAATTGGAAAGTCAGGCTGGGCTTCTGGAGAAGTCTGAGTATCTTCCAACGTATGTGTTATCCACAACAAAGAACAAGAAGATAAGTGTTTCTCAAAAATAAGTATGGAAATTTTGCAAGAAAATGAGACAGTCATTAAGCAAAATTGCAGGCAAACAATTGAGTAAGCATGAAACTGAGATCAAAATGTGGAAGAGCGGTGAAAAGGGTTGGAGACAATGACACTGTAAAATATGGCTAATCACACAGTGCCTGGACACCTAACTGAGTCACAAATACAGAAAGCAGGTTGACTATCTCAGTTGGATGGAGAACAGAGGGGACATGTGAAAGCAACAGGCAGGGCTGAAATCACAGGAAAGAAGACCTATATTAACATTTATTTTTTATGTCCGCACAGCCTGGCACAGAGAACATCCAAACGGACTCGGAGTGGCTCTTACACTAGATCTGTGGCAAATGGTGCCTATAACAAGGTTTTCTTATCCCATAAAAAAGACCTAAGATTATAGATCTACTCCTGATAGAATACCTACCAAGGAACTTTTTCTTTTCCTCCAAAGTCAATTTGTGTAAGGCCTTCCAAAACATCACTATGGTGGGATGTGAATTATCATATCCTGCTTCATAATGTGCATTCTAGAGAAAAAAAATACGAAAAAAAAAAAAGTATTCAGGAAATAGAAAAGAAATTCAAATTCAAACTTCTAGGCCTTTACGATATACCTTCTCAAATGTCTCCCAGTCATAATCTGTATTTCCAATAATCACATCCTTTAGTTCTTCTGGATGGAAAAATTCAATAATATCCTTGTCACACACTTTGTAAAATCCTCTTTGGAATTCTTCATAAAGTGCCTTCACAGAGATGTTGAAGATATAATTGACACACTTAGAAATATAGTCTCTCCTTTAAGGAAACAAAAAATGATTTCAGCTTACTGCAGTACCCGGAAGGAAACTTGGCAGGGGGGCAGGGAAGGTGGGCAGAAGACCAAAAATAAAATGAGAACTAGAATACCTAACAATTCAGTACTTCCCATGTGCATATGGCTATTTTTCATATATTACCTAATTTAATCTTCATAACTCTCAGGGCAGATTCTGAGGACATTTTAGTAAAGAAACAGAAGTTTCTTGGTGAAGTTATGTAATTCCTCAAGGCCACACAGTTAAGAGAAAGGAAATAGATTAGAACAGTAGAAAGTTTGGAAGAGTAAAACCTGACCTGCTGGTAGTGCTCTGGGGAACAGGCTTGGGAGATGGGGGAAATTTCCTATTTTATTTTATGGTCTTCCATACTGTCAGAATGTATGACAGTAATTAATATTAGTATGTGTGGTTAAGCACAAATACATAAGGGATTTCTACTTCTAGCCATGATGGGGTAGCTTTCCCCAAATACTCCCAGCACGAAGAACTAGAAAAAGCCAGATAATATATAAAAACACATCTAACTCCAGGCTCCCAAATCTGGGTACGACTCAAGAGGCCTCTGAACTACTAAGAAAGAAGGGAAGCCCTGTGAAGTGAGCCCGGCATTTTACTTGCAGTTTTTCCCTTTGGGCCATTTGCCGATTCAGTGAAAGCGACCAGGCTAAAAGTAGTTGTTAAGAGGCAGAGAACCTCATTATGTATATCAGTAATACTATAGATAAATTGGAGTATTCGTAAAATATACTAGAGCTGGAAATGTTCTATTTCTTGATCTGCATACTTATTTGTGTACCTTTCTGTATGTCAGATTTCAATACAAAGTTCTTTTTTAAAAATAAAGATTAAGGGCGCCTGGGTGGCTCAGTCGTTAAGCGTCTGCCTTCAGCTCAGGTCATGATCCCAGGGTCCTGGGATCGAGCCCCGCATCGGGCTCCCTGCTCAGCCTGCTTCTCCCTCTCCCACTCCCCCTGCTTGTGTTCCCTCACTCACTGTGTCTCTCTCTGTCAAATAAATAAAATCTTAAAAGAGACACAGTGAGAGAGGGAACACAAGCAGGGGGAGTGGGAGAGGGAGAAGCAGGCTTCCCGCCAAGCAGGAAGCCCAATGCAGGGCTCAATCCCAGGACCTTGGGATCATGACCTGAGCCGAAGGCAGACACTGAACGACTGAGCCACCCAGGCGCCCCAAATAAATAAAATCTTTTAAAAAAATTAATTAAAAATAAAGATTAAAAGGTGAAAGAAAAATAGCTGGCTTACACCAGAATGCTCACTTGGTGGTATCTCTCTGCCACTCTGACCAACTATCAATGGAATGTTCTCTCATCCCATAAGGGGTTGAGAACTCAAGATACCACAGTAACATGTAATAACATTAAAAAATACTAAGTGCCTGCCACAGACCAGGCACCACTGGAGACTTCTAGCTACTAGATGCACAATGAAAACAAGACTAGTCCCTGCCATCACGCAGCTCACTGCTGTGGGGGAAATACAGATAAGTAAAGAAGCAGATAAATCTTAAAGGTACGTAATGTGTGGTATGAAAAGAAAAAGTAAAACAGGGTAAGGGAATAGAGAGGGAAGTTGGCGGTATAAACCTAGACCAGAGGGTAAGGGAAAGCCTGTCTGCGAAAGCTATTTCCTTCCCTACCAGAATATAAGCTCTAGGAGACATACACATACACACAATATACACCAACTCTCTGCCTTATTAAAAAATGATTAATTGGTAAGAACTGTAAGACATTTTTAGAGCCCAGTGAAATAAACAGTGTATAAACAAAACAAATAGTTCAGTTCTCTGTACCTACTTGTTAGTCTGGTCAACAATGATGCAACTTCCATTAGGAATTAAGTCTATATCATTTTTGTCCCAATGCACCTGTAACCACAAATAAACTCAGATAGTATCTCCAAAATAATCCGAAACAATCTATTATTAACAAAAACACTTTGAAGCATAGCTTTTCTTCTCAAGATTTTATAAAGTAAACATTTTAGTCATAAAAACAAGGAATGTGCATATAAAAAGTTACCATCTTATGAAAAATGAAAAATCAATTTTTATAAAACTTGAATTATTTATCATACTGGAAAAAAATTGGCAAATTGTCACATTTCAGTAGTCACTTTATACAGTAAAGACCTAGTATGGTAGATTTGCAAAATGCTCACAAATTCTTCCCAGCCTGGTATTCAGGCCCCTTTGCAGTATGACTCTGCAATAGCTACTGGGCCCCTACCCCCCCGCCCCCCATCAAGAGGAGGAATCCAGTTCTTCAGCTCTTGAATCTGGCTGTGGCCATGTAAGGCACTCTGGCCAATGGGATCTGCCAGAAGTAAAAGCTTAAAAAGAAGCTTGTATGCTGAGGCTTGCCATCTCTTCCCACTCTTTGTAATCCTGACACCATTCTATAAAGACATCTCAACTAGCTTATTGGAGCATAAGAGATCCCTGGAACAGAAAAGCTGTTCCAGCCCACATTCTATAAACCAGCCAACAACTGGTATATGAGTGAGGCCAGTATAAACCAGCCAAGTTGACCCAGTCCAGAAACTCAATGAATTGTGTTTGTTTTAAGCCACTAAATTTAGGTGTTGTTACATAGTAAAATCTAACTGATATGCCCAGCTCATAAAAATGAGGAAAAAAAACCTTTTGCACACTAATTCAGAAGTTTGTCCTTTTATTAAAGAGTGACATGTCTAGATAAATATGTAAAGGATTAATCAGATTAAAACTGATCTGTAATCTGGTTCTTATCATTACTCACACTGAAACAGATACAAAATACTTCTCCAAAGTCATTGCCTTCATCATCCAGAAGAGTTTGCAAACTCCTAAAGAACAAATAATTTTATTTTTTAAAAGTCAATAATAATGATCACTAGATATATCACCTAAAAAATATCATCTAAGGGGCGCCTGGGTGGCTCAGATGGTTAAGCGTCTGCCTTCGGCTCAGGTCATGATCCCAGTGTCCTGGAATCGAGCACCACATCAGGCTCCTGGCTCAGTGGGAAGCCTGCTTCTCCCTCTCCCTCTGTACCTCTGTGTCTCAAATGAACAAATAAAATCTTCAAAAAAATAAAATAAACCATCTAAAATCAAATGCATGACTATTCTGAAGGTGGAAGGTCAGATCATTAGTTAACAATGCCCATTTCTCTGTGTACTGAGAGCCAGACCTCAACTACAAGCATGAAGTTTATGAATATTTGCAATTCTGCAAGCTCTCTTCCCTTCACCCTACCTTCCTTTACCCAGTGATTACAGGTTTCTACAGAAAAGGACTGATAACATATTTAACTGATACTGAAACTCATTCAAATTGGTGTAACCTTTATTTAAGCTTCGGAACTGTACCTACAGAACAAATAATCTCCTTTTAAATATCAGGTACCACTTAGGGAATCTGAGGAGTGAGAAGGTCAAAGGACCTTCTCTGTATCTACTGTCCCAATATCATCAAGCTTAAGACAGATGTGAAATTCAACTACCTTAACTGTTTCAAGGCATCTGAGAATATAGGTTATATCAGCACGGACAGCAGCCAGCCTTCTTAGATCTCCATCCTCTGTTGTCCTATGGTACTTCATTTATATTTTTAAAGTCATACGTCTCATTGTATTTGCTCATTCTCTCATGTATTCATTCAACAAACATGTATCAAGCACCCAATGTGGCAGGCATTCACGGATGTAAAGTTGAGATGTTACTGCCAATAAGCCCTGAGACCCGTAGGTAAGATACGCTGATGGAAGCCTCACCTACATTACAGTGAGCTATGTGCAGACACTCTCTAGGTGTTCAAGTACAGCCTTGGCGAACTCTTTCTGAAGGGTTGTGTGACTGGGAAAGCCTCTGGAAGAAGGTGGAATCCAAGCTGACTACTCCATCCACTGGATTTTTTATTACAGAACTATGAACAGACCATATTGCATTCATTGTAGGTTTTAGGGGGTGGGCGGTGAGGAGAGGGAGAGTGATGGGAACTCAGCTGACAAAACTGGATTCATGATAATACTTGGTTCATGACACTCTTGTCATCTTCTGTCCATGTATGGCTGATGCTTATTTATAGGTGTTTTTATGAGGAAAACTTAGGAACCTGCCTCTTCAAACACTGCTTATATCTTATACCCATCTGTATGGATACCTCCCCTATCCCATTTTTCTACCACACCCAAAATATGTCACAAATACCAGTTTAAGGGGTGTTGTTTCCCTTTTGTTAAGGTATCTCATGAAGAACAGATACATTCTTTAATCTCATTGCAGTTAGACTTATCAGTCTTTCCTTTAATGTTGGTACTTTTTATGTCTTCAGATTGCAAAGGTTAGACAGATATTTGTCCATATTTTCAACATTTTTGCTTTGAGATCTTCAACCACATGAAGTTGATTTTTGTATATGGCATAAGCTATCAGCATTCCTTTTTTTCCCATGTGCATGAACTGACAGTCCTTCTGTTCCCATTAACCCCAGCACATCAGCACGGACAGCAGCCAGCCTTCTCAGATCGACCACCACCAAGGCCCACAGGCGCCTGGATCAGTGTCAGAGCTCTCACTTTGGTTCCACTGAAAACCTGCACCCACACTGTACTGTCCTCAATACAGCTTTCTAAAAATTCTGAAGACCTAAAAACGTGAGGAACACCGATACAGATAGAACAATCCTTACATTTACTAAGTTGATGGGTATTAAGTCTTCTGAGGCATAAGCATTATTTAGGTCATTTTCATTGTTTTAGTAAAAAACAAATTTATCTCCTCCTCCCCAAATCTTGTGCTTTTGATTTTTTTCCTTATCTTATTAGTATAATTAGCAATAATGATTAATAGTTGGAAGCTGGAACCAGACTGTGTTCAATTCATGGTTCTGTCACTATGGGGTCTGAGACAAGTTACCCAAACTGTCTGTTTCCTCACCTGTGGAGAAATAGGGATCATAACAGGATCAGGGCGCCTGGGTGGCTCAGTCCGTTAAGCATCCGATTCTTGATTTCAGCTCAGGTCATGATCTCAGGGTCATGAGATCGAGCCCTGCAGGAGCCTGTTTGAGATTCTCCCTCTCCCTCTCCCTCTGCTGCCCACCCCCCACTGGCCTGCTCGTGCTCTCAAAAAAAAAAAAAAATCATACTACTGTTCTCATTCTTTTAGAAATCTACATAGGATTTCATTGCATAAATATACCAAAAATAATTGCCTTATTAAAGAACACTTAAGTATTCCACACATTATGCACTATGTAATACAATATACATTAGTATGGAAAAATCCTTGCATGGTTGTGTTATTTCTGAAACTAAATGTCTAGAGGCAGAACTGCTAGGCCAAAGGGGCAAATACATTTTTGATTCAGGTAAGTACTATCACATTGTTCTCTGAAAAGGAATCACCAATTCATACGTCCACTACCAATCCCTGAAATTAGAGCAAACCTTTTCCCAAACTCTGGTGAACACTATATAGCATCAGTATTTCCAACCACTGCAAATTTGAAGCACAGATTAGCCTCTGCATTCCATGAGGACTGGGGAGGTGAAGCCATTCTGTTACTTCTTTTCTGGGTTTCCTTCCTGTATACTTTGTCAATTTTTCTTACGGATGTGTAGGAACACCTTACACAGCAGGAATATCATCCCTTTCTATTACCAATATTTTTTGTGAGGTGGTGGCTTTGGCTTTTTAACTTAGAAGTGAGTTTTCACTGTAAAGGTGAGGATATGAAACAAGATTTAAAATAAACATCACTTGCAGATTTCACACCAGGATATAATTTGTGCTCTCCCCATGACTGTTTCTACACAAATAAAGTTCAAAGATTAGTGCCAGCATTAGGGACCAATCATAAGGAAAATCAACTTTTCTTAATCAACCTCTCTTACTAGTCAACAATTCTTCCCAAAATTATACTTGACTTAAAGTACCTAGAATGTTGCTGTTGAACATGAAAATACTACTGGGGGGGAGGGGATGTGTTTAATTATTTACAGGCATACCTCAGAGTTACTGCAGGTTTGCTTCCAAGCACTGCAATAAAGCAATTATCCCAGAAGAGGCAAGTCAAAAGAATTACTTCGTTTCCCAGTGCATATAAAAGTTATGTTCACACCATACTGTAGTAAGTGTGCAACAGCATTATGTTTAAAAAAATGTGCATACCTATAATTTAAAAATACTTTAATGCTCACCATCCTCTGAGCTCACAGCAAGTTGTAATCACTGATCACAGATCACCATAACAAATAGAATAGTAATGGAAAAATTTGGAATACTGTGAGAATTACCAAAATGTGACACAGAGACACAAAGTGTGTTGGAAAGATGGCTTGCTTGACACAGGGTTGCCACAACCTTTGATTTGTAAAAAACACTATTATCTGGGAAGCCCAAGTTAATGAAACAAGGCATGCCTGTACCTAAATACGTATTATGTAGAGTTCTAGAAAAAGAACTAGGTTTACTTACCTTCCCAAAACAGGACTAAGTTCTTTCAAGTCTTCCAGTGATGGCGTCTGATTCAAAAGTTTCTTAAACAGGGCCAGTGGGAAAGGGATGTTGGCAACATTGAAATTGAAAAGGGAAAGTCCACAGAGAACCCCAAAGAAGAAGTATCTCTTCTTCTCAAATTTAGGCTAAAAAGATAAAAAAAACTTAATGTGTTTTAATTTTTACAAGTAAAATGCAATATTCATATTAGGTAAACCTTTTCTCCCTTTCACAAAGTCAAATCAAAAAGGTTGCGGGCCACTGGGTGGCCCAGTCAGTTAAGCATCTGACTCTTGATTTTGCTCAGGTCATGATCTCAGGGTCATGAGATGGAGCCCCGCATCAGGCTCCACACTCAGCGGGGAGTCAACTTGAGATTCTCTGTCTCCCTCTGCCCCTCCCCCCACTGGCACACACTCTCTCTCAAAATAAACAAAATCTTAAAAAAAAAAAAAAGCTTGAGATAAGAATATTTAGGGTTTATGTACAGTCATTAAGTCAATTTAAATCTCTGCCACAGGGACACTAACAGAATCTCATTAGGCTCAGCAAGTCTTCATAAATTGAAGCAAAACTTCATAAACTGAAGTTTTCAATTTCTTTTCACAGCCTTTCAAATGAAGATTTGAGAAAAAATTTTCAAATTCACGGGCAAAAATAGAACTAACAAAAAATGGGCACCTGGGAAAGGAAGGGTTCCTTTTTATCCATACATTCTTTAAATGGTCAAAAACATATACATTGCTTAAATTTTCCTGTATGGGCAGAAATGGGAACCCAGGGAAAAGGGACTCCATTTTAAAGAAAATAATCACTTTATTGAAACTGAAGGCTATTCCCATAATTATATGTATCAATAACTCCTCTCCTAAAATGAAACTGTCTGGACAACCTAATTTCCAATGGTATGTGACATGCCTTTTCTGTCATGATAACCATAAGCAAAAAGGAGAGGACTCACCCTGACGGGAAACCACATGTAGGAAGCCTCCTCAGGATACATGAACATCCCATATTCTGGCCGGGTCATCTCCTCAAACAGACAGTGGAAAAACTCTACCTTGACTCCTCCAGAGTCATGTCCAATTTCTCCACTAAATGAAACCTGAAGAAACAGAACAAATAATATATCACTTCCAGGGCTCTGTATTGCTATGTATTAAGACTCATTTAATAATCATTAAGAGTGAACACTATTGGGCGTCTGGGTGGCTCAGTTGGTTAAGCGACTGCCTTCAGCTCAGGTCATGATCCTGGAGTCCCAGGATCGAGTCCCACATCAGGCTCCCTGCTCAGCGGGGAGTCTGCTTCTCCCTCTGACCCTCTTCCCTCTCGTGCTCTCTATCTCTCATTCTCTCTCTCTCTCAAATAAATAAATAAAATCTTTAAAAAAAAAAAAAAAGAGTGAACACTATTTGTAGACCCAAGTATTTGGTAAGCATCTTACTCGTTTAATCTTCACATTAATTCTATGAGGTGATAAAGCTTCAAGAATGTAAATATTAACTTCCCCAAGGTCACACTCGGTTAAGGGGTGCAGCCTAGATTTAATCCTATGTCTGTCAAGTCTCAGAGCCTGATGTCTTCAGCTGCTAAGCTGACCTCAATTGGCATCATTAGTATATAATAAGAAATGTTAAGTAAAATGAAAATAAAGAAATAAAAAATAGTTGGATTTTCAAAGGCTGAAAAACCAGAGCACACATTATCTATTGGCTTAGTTGTTTATGCCTTGAGAAGGCACCCATGGACACCAATCCCTTCCTAGGATGGTTCTACCACAACCCATCTCTGCTCCTTCAAATACTCACTCATTCCTGCCCTTCCTTCTTGGAATCCCTCACTTCAGTGTACAAATGTGTTAAGGTCTCCCTTATTCTTAAAAGAAGAAAAAAATCTCAACACCACTGTCTCCACTATCTCCAGATAATACTGGCTTCTACTCTAGGCTGCCAAATTCTGGAGAATCAGGTACACCAACTTTGAAACCTACTTCCCTACTTAAGTGCTATCTTCAAGAGGACCAAGAACCTGTGCACCCCCAATTCCAAGGACTTGTTCTCACATCTCCTCTCGTTTTCATGAACTCATTTTACACTTCCGATCACCCTTCTTCACACTCTTCTCCTCCCTTGCTTTCTCTTATAAAGCATTAACTAGGTTTTTATTTCTCTCTTCTTTTTCCTGCCGTTCTGTGCTGGTTCTATCCTTTCTGCTTGCCCTGTTCGATTTCTCTTTGAACTTCACTTATCACCTGCAGGCATTTAACCTTCCTACCCACTCTACCTTCTCTCTGACTGACACACGCTCCTGTCCAAAGGCCTGCTCAACACTTCCTTCAGGATGTTCCACAGGCACTTCCCCAAAAGCTCCTTTTACTGGTTTAACTGGATGAATGCCTCTTCCATTTTCTAGAAATGCAAGTTTAAAACCTCAGTGAATTATTCAAAATCTTTATAAGACCAGGTTTTGGGGCACCTGGGTGGCTTAGTTGGTTAATAATCCGACTCTTGGTTTCGGCTCAGGTCATGATCTCAGGGTCCTGATACTGAGCTCCGTGTTGGGTTCCCTGCTCAGTGCAGAGTCTGCTTCAGATTCTTTCTCCCTCTCCCTTCCCCTCTGCCCCTTCTCTCTCTAAATAAATAAATAAAATCTAAAAAAAAGAAAAAAGACTAGGTGTCAAATCCTAACTCTGCCCCTTTCTATGGGCAAGCTCCCTCATCTGACAGCCTCAGTTTTCTCATGAGATTATCAGAAAGCATGCAAAAATGCCTCACATAGTCTGGAAAATGGTGGCTGCTCATCAAATGTTTAAAAGGGATGAATGAGGGGCGCCTGAGTGGCTCAGTCATTAAGCGTCTGCCTTCGGCTCAGGTCATGATCCCGGAGTCCTGGGATCGGGTCCCACATCGGGCTCCCTGCTCAGCGGGAAGCCTGCTTCTCCCTCTCCCACTCCCCCTGCTTGTGTTCCCTCTCTTGCTGTGTGTGTCTCTGTCAAATAAATAAAATCTTTAAATAAATAAATAAATAAATAAATAAATAAAAGGGATGAATGAACTATAAAAGTGAAACTAAAATAACTCAGTGGACTGGCTGGCCATCACAGGCAAGATTCACATAATGAGTTTGTTCGATTTTTAAAAATTATCTATGTGCAAAAAATATGTGGCAATGCCACCCCTAACTGCAAACCCCAGTGCAACATACTTTTAAAATAGTGTCTTGAACTTCAGTCAAGTCATTCTCTAATCTGCGTAGGGTAAGTGATAAACGAGGGTTTATGAAAAACACTCTAATAAATACCATCAGGCAGATCTTTGTTGTGATTAAGTGCAAAGTCTGGAACCTAACAGTTGGGCCCAAATCCTGGCTCTGATACTTCTCAGCTGAATTGCCCTTGGATAAGTCACCTTAATAGTTCTGTGCCTCAGTTTCCCCATCAGCAAAATGAAGGAAAAACAGAACCTTCCATGCAGCGCCACTGGAAGGGTTTCACAAGTCCTTGTGAAACATTCACAATGTTCTTGGCATAAGGAAAATGTTCACCAGATTTACTAGATACTATTCTGTGTCCAAATATTTACTAGTAAGACAAGTTTTATAATAACTAAACCAGAGATCATTTATGTTCAGAACATGGGGATTTCCACAATAATACCCTCAAAAAACTACAGAGTCAATAAAGAGGAAGTTCTCTTTTCCACAAAGCAATTTGGGCTCCTGCATGAGAGCAGAAACAAATCCTCAAATCTCCTCCATGTCAACCTCATCTCACTGAAACCCTTCCGAAGGGGTGACTGGCCAGGCTGGGTCAGGCCTCAGGAGGGATGGGACCTCTTGGGGCTAGTTCTGGACTTCCTACCTGCCCAGGCTGGGGGAGGACAACCCTTTCACCCACTGCTCCTCAGCCCAAGAGCACCAAGTGCCCGCAGCTATTCCCAGCAATTCCCAGCTAAGTGGGGAATCAGGGAAACTCCAAAACAGACAAGCTCCGTGGCAAAGGGGGATTCTTTCTTCTCCAGAAGACCCATTGTTACATCCTTTTAGGTTTTCCCTCTCTCAGCAGCAAAAACATTGAGAATTATACTTTACCATTAACTCCCTCCTCAGATCTTCATTCTCAAACTGATTTAGGTGACTCAGAACATCCTCAATCAAGTGACTCCTTCTGACTGTTAGATTGAAAGTGGGCAGCAAAGCTAATTCAGACCCTCCTTGTTCCACAATTCCAGCCAACCGCATACAAGCTTTAAATTTTTTCTCCTAGAAAAACAAATATTTCACTCAAAATAAAAAAAGGGGGGGGCGCGCATGGGTGGCTAAGTCGGTTAAGCGTCTGCCTTCGGCTCAGGTCATGGTCCCAGGGTCCTGGGATTGAGCCCCGCATCAGGCTCCCTGCTCCACGGGGAGCCTGCTTCTCCCTCTCCCACTCCCCCTACTTGTGTTCCCTCTCTCACTGTGTCTCTCTGTCAAATAAATAAAATCTTTAAAAAAAAAAAAAGTTTCACTCATTTCACCATTTGCTCTAAGTGGCAATTTATAAAGTGGAATAGGTTGGTTCAGTTTATTATGAGTGCTTGTCACGAATACTTATGAACAGAGCCTTATTTACATAAGCCACTGGAGAGAAGCTATACATTTAGCATTCATCCTCAATGAGCCGAAGAAACACCTAAGGAATGAAAAGTTTTGTGAAGCCAACCAGTGTAAGCAGGAAAGTGACCAACTGTGGGCTCCACTGGTCCGCTTTATCCTGCAAACACAATTATTAATACTTCAGTTACCAAAGCTAACTACCATCATTAGGCTAAGAGAATGATTAGCAAACACTGAAGCAGTGTGTTGAACATAAGCTCCTCGTTTGGAAAAGTTCAGAAAGAAAGCATGCTGCAGGAAACTTCAGGTATGAAAGACCTCTCAAGATATCCTATTCTAGGAGGACTCTGAGAAACAAACTAGGGTTTTAGAGGGGAGGGGGGTGAGGGAAGGGGTGAGCCCAGTGATGGGTATTAAGGATGGCACGTACTGCATGGAGCACTGGGTGTTATATGCAAACAATGCATCATGGAACACTACATCAAAAACTAATGATGTACTGTATGGAGACTAACATAATAAAATAAAATTAAAAAAAAAATCACACAAAAAAAGATATCCTATTCTAGGAGGAAAACCCAACGAGAGATTTTAGGGCACAGATAATCTAAGAAGTTACATATGAGACAGAAAGACAGACAGATGCGCACACACACACAATGATTGTCTAGCTGACCCAATGGCAATTTGAGACCATTCAAGTCTAAGGCTCTCAGGACAACAGTGAACAAATACCGGGTCCATAAAATTATTACTGGAGGCCTGTTTAAAATTAGGAGAGAAGAGTTGTAAGAGTTGAAGGAAAATAAAGTTCTTGTACCTTTTTACCTTTCATTTTCCTTTGTCAAGTATTTCATCAACGGTCATATTCATAAATCAATTTCCCATTTTGTTTTACAATGGTTAACTGCATTATGTAAAAGTATCTACTGTTATGACATATATTTGAATATGATTCATACCTATACATATCCAGATGCATATTCAAAAGTGATAATAAGAGCTAACACTCTTGGGCACTTTCGTTTCTGGAGGCATTTTCAATAGTCCAGTTTTAAGTTCAAAATCACTTTTTGGGTATGTTGACAAACAGAACCAACTCACCTCATGACAGTTCACTTTTTACAAACCTTTATCATGGCACCATTAGACTACCAGCCATCTATGTATGTGTCTGCATTTCAAGAATTCTGTCACCTCTATTCCCACTGCTCTGTTTTTTAATTAGGTTGGGCTCCTTAAATATGGGTTTGCTAATCCCAATCAAGCCCATCTTCTGCTATGCCTCTTTGAATACCACACAGAAGGCCTGTATAGAGGGCCCAACCTCAAGGTAAAGCCCCACAGACTAGGTCAGCCATCCATGCTCTCTCCTCCACTCCTGAGGCCCTAATGCACCTCAAGGCCAAGCCAATCCAAATTATGACAGTCTTTCTTGCCACCTTCATTAGAGTCTAAGCTCCATGACTGTTACAACCATTCGTTTCAATGTTATCAACGTCCAAAATATTGCATACTTAAGAAGGCATTTATCATTTGATTTGTTTACGAAGACAAAGAAATAGGCATACGTACCTGTATTTTTAAAAGCGAATCTGCGTACAGTAGTTTGATTTTCGACAGAATATTAAAGGTAAACGGAAAATGACTGAATATGACTGGATACTGACTGTCTACTGAAGTGTCCTAAAAATGGAAATGACAAGAATTCTGACAAATGAAAGAACAGAGAAATCTTACACCTTAACTCACGGCCTAAAATCCCTGATAGTTAGAAGTCTCCGTTCTAGCCAAAGCAATCCAAATTGCTGGCCAGTAGTACTTAGATATCTAAAATTCTAAGAAAATGTTTTGTATGTATCAATGGAAGGTATGTAAACCTAGTACTTAAAAAAATATATATAAATAAAAATAAACCTAGTATTTTTCAGTGCCTTATTTAATTTAGCAATCCATTATAAACTCTAGACACTTTCCCAAAGAGTTTGTTCTGCTGCTCTGTGCACCTCTGAAACGTAAATTAGTTCGGATGCACTTAGTAAATAGGGGAATGATATAATGTAGACAGCCGATGAGCTCATACATGATTTCTGCCAGTCAAGGGTCGATGTGGTAGGAGCAGAATTACAGTCTTCAGAGAGAAGGAAAAAAAATCTCAGGTCAGCTGCTGAACTGGCAGCAACAGTCCTTCAGCTTTAAGAAAATAAAAGGATACACCCAGAGCCACCCCTAAAGTTGCAGCCCTATTCTGTTGGCTCATGGTGGGTCATGCTGCCCTCTATACCCACCTAAGAGAGCTCCGCTTGCATCTTGTTACCTCAGTACTACCAATCCTCTCATTAGAGTGTGAACAGATATCTATCCTTCTGTTTGGTGCATTTTCCTATTCTCATGGTACTCTCCACAAGCAGCTCGCCTGGCTGATCCAAGTGATCTAAGGTAGTAACCACTTTTCTCTTAGGGTTCTGGCTACAAAATTGCACTGGTTTTGAGGGGTCTATCTCGCCTTTCCTGTAAGCCCTGTTATTTCTACTGAGCAATTTTGCAGGGTGCGAGGATATCTGGAAACCCATGCACAGAGTTTCGGCACAAATACTTACATTAACGCACTGGTGATCAACTTCCCCCTTTGAACGTACCACAACTGGGTGCCTGGCTGTTAGTCAGTGGAGCATGCAACTTTTGATTTCAGGGGTTGTGAGTTTGAGCCCCACATTGGGTGTAGAAATTACTTTAAAAAAACAAAATCTTTACAAAATAAATAAATAAATACATAATAAACACACCATACTTACGGAGTTAATTTTCCAAGCGGATCTTCTGTATGCATCCCCATAAAAATCAAGCCAGTGTGTAAGCTCATTCACTTTGAAAATACTTTCAGGCAGTTGACACACAGCCTGGTTTACCTTTAATAAAAGATAGCCCGTGAGAAAGTTTTACATGTAAAGACAATTCTGCTTTTTGCCCATTACTTAGATTATCAGTATAAATAGCAAAATAAACACTCTTCCAATGACCAGAATAAAGTTCTATACAATACCTCCACTGGCAAAGCCCCAAATTTTCAGGAACATAAAGAATACCTATGATTTAATAGCAGAAATTGATGATATGATAATAAGGTCCTACTTACTTTTAATTCATAGAAAAGCTTTAAAGAATTTTAGGTCCAAAGAAAAATACAGTGCAATATGAATCCAAGTACTCTGGGGCCCAGTATTTCATGTTATATTCTTCAGAGCTTAACAATATATGATTTACAGATGTCCCCCTCTGGAAGGCATGTGTGGAACATTCCCCTCCTCAACTGTGGGGCTGTTTTCCAGCCTTCCATCTCCAATGACCAGGGTTATGACATGCACATAGACACCCTGCAACAGTGCTAACCATCAGTCAGTTAAGACACTGATAATGACACTATAGATGCTTTGGACATGAGTGACCATCAATATTTGACACAGATGGGCACAGACTTAGCCTAAATGACTCATTCTCAAGAGGTCCTCTAAAAGCCCCTCTTGGCTTTCATTCACCTGGAATATTCTTACTAACCCTGGCCCAGACCCCAAATGATCCAAGCCTCCCCATACCACCACCCAGAGAATCGTGAAGCTGTTTCAATCCCATAATATGGTCCTCTGGACCCTGCTACTCTCAGTCCTGCACATCCCCAGTTATGGAAAAAGCGGGTGTTTTATCCTCGCAGCTTCCTATGGTCTTCTTTCTTAGGTTGGGGAGGGAGCTCGACAAATAATCTAATGTCACTGTTAGAGTCAAAGGTAAAGCAGGATCCCTTGAGGATTTTTGTTGCTGCTTCAGCATTTCTCAGGATTCTTTTTTTGTAAATGGAAAAAGCTCATGAGAATATACTTTCCCCGAGCTCTTCAGTAAATTTTTCAAAACCCAAACTATTTTTTTTTATTAATATTTCTCGTTTGTACAAAACCTTTAAAAACAGCCAAAGATGCGCACTGCTTTTCAGCAGTACGGCAGAATTCTTTTTTTAAAGCAGTACAGCAGATTAGGTATCTTGATTTGCTGAAAACAACTAGAAATACAGGATAAAGTGTAAACAAATATATATATATATTTTTTAAAGATTTTATTTATTTATTTGACAGAGAGACACAGCGAGAGCAGGAACACAAGCAGGGGGAGTGGGAGAGGGAGAAGCAGGCTTCCCGCAGAGCAGGGAGCCCGATGTGGGACTCGATCCCAGGACCCTGGGATCATGACCCGAGCCGAAGGCAGACGCTTAACGACTGAGCCACCCAGGCACCCATAAACAAATATTTTTAATGCAACACCAATATTCTAAGTAGATACGAAATAATCAGGTCAAAAACAAGGTGAAAGTGGCATTTGCCTCAAGAATATTTGCCAAACTTGGTGAACTTGAACTTCAGTTTGCAATTGTTGGGGCTTTGGGGAAATAAACAAAACTAGACTCTTCAAATTATGGGGCCAATAATAGAACGCCAACTCATAAATCTGGAATCCAGAAGGGCTAACCCATCAGAGTGAGGGTAAACCAGAAATGAACAGCCCACCCCCACACCTTGACCCCAAGCCCAGGAAGCAAACTGCAGCTAGTTAAAATGGTGCCAAGTTGCAGAAAAAATGTCACCTAATGTCACCTATAGCATTTGCAATCACGAAAGCACTTTCCTGAAAATTCACACACCACATTCAGACCACACCTAGAGATCTAAAGAGCTTCAAGCCAAGAATTTAATTTAAGGTAGTACCAAACTGAGGTGGTGTCTCCCAGAGTCTGGTAGAAGCAAATCCTCCCTGGAGAAATGCAGCCCTCAAAAAATTCCAAAAGATAACGTTCCAAGGCAAATATCAAACACACACACACACACACAGTCACAAAACACGATAAAGAAGGCACTATGAGGAAGATTCAGCAGAAGCAAGAGAGGACAAAGCTGACCTGTAAAGACTTCAGATATCAGAGGTATGATGCATTTAAATAAGCAAAAGAGAAGCTTGAAAATAAAAGATGAAGATATCCTAAATAATGACAAAGAAAAAAAATTTCAAAGAAACAATGGGAACTTTTGGAAGTGGAAAACATAATACTTGGAATAAAAACTCAAAGGGCAGTTTTATTAACAGACAGAAATCACTAAAAATAGATTTCATGGACAGAAAGATATGGCTGAAGAAGTCATCCAGAACGGGATGCAATCACAGAGAGAGATGGAAAATATGACAGAAACCTTAAGAGACATGGAAGATACAGTGAAAAAGTCAGACATATAAATAACTGGAATTTCAGTAGGAAAGGAGGGAGTCAATATTTGTGTGGACTTAAAATGTTTAATGATTTAGGAACATCCTTTACCTATAAGGGTTATTTTCAAAAACCCCACAGTAAACATCCTATTTAATAGTGATATCCAATTTTTCCTTTAAAATCACAAACAAGGGGCACCTGGCTGGCTCAATCTGCAGAGCATGCAATTCTTGATCCTGGGGTTTTGAGTTCAAGCCCCACATTGGGTGTAAAGATTACTTCATAATAAAATAAAATCTTTAAAAATAAACAAAATCACAAAAAAAATAAGGAATCTACTATTGCCAACACTTCTATTCAACATTGTACAGGAAGGTTTAACCAGTGCAACACAGCAAAGGAAAGTAATAAAATGTGGGGGAAAAAAAAAACATTACTTTTTTTCAAAGTTATGATTAGCTGCATAGGAAATACAAAATAATCTACAGGTAAATTATTAGATATAATGTGGAAATTATATATGTATATATATAATAAATGCAAATACATAAATGCATTCCTACAAATGAGAGATAATATAATTTTTAAAATTTACCATCTACAAAATCTAAAAAAATTAAATATGGTGGAATAGATTTAACTAAACATAGCCTAGACTTCCACAGTAAAATAACAAAATTTTATTGCAAGACTTTGAAGACTACCTGATAAGTGGAAGAAATAGACACCACCAAGATTAACAATAGTAAAGATGTCAATTCTCCCCAAAGTGAAATACAGACTCAATGCAACTCCAAATCAAATTTCCAGTAAGATTTTTTTGTTTGCATTGCCTATCATTAAGGAAGGGACAGAATTTCAGTAAGTGGTGCTAGGTAATTGTTTTCATATGGAAAATAACAAAAATTAATTTAAAATAGGGGCCCTGGGTGGCTCAGTTGGTTAAGCGTTTGCCTTCAGCTCAGGTCATGATCCCAGGGTCCTGGGATCGAGCCCCGTGTCGGGCTCCCTGCTCAGTGGGGAGCCGGCTTCTCCCTCTCTCTCTGCCTGCCACTCTGCCTACTTGTGTTCTCTCTCTCTCTCAAATAAATAAAATCTTTAAAAAAAATTAATTTAAAATAAATTTCCAATTGGATTAAACACCAAATTGTAAAGGCAAAGCTCAAAATCAATACTCCCTTTAGACCTGCTGGGGCGCCTGGGTGGCTCAGTCGTTAAGCATCTGCCTTCAGCTTAGGTCATAATCCTGGGATCCTGTGATTGAGCCCCGATGCGCCTGCTTCTCCCTCTCCCACTCCCCCTGCTTGTGTTCCCTCTCTCGCTATGTCTCTGTCAAATAAATAAAATCTTTAAAAAAAAAAAAAAAGTGGCCTCTGATCCAGGTCCACGATTTATTTCTTGGTCCTTGCCCTGGCCTTCCTCCAGCCAATCCCCTTCTCAAAAAAGTAAAAGTAATGAGCCTGCTGGGCCAATGGGACCTGACCACATGCGTAGGCCTCTTCCCCTGCGTGGTCTCTGGAGAGTGGACTGTTTTAGAGCTGAGCACACCCCTAGGTTCTAGAGATGGCTACGGTGTGGCTGCTGTGGAGGCAGGGATGTAATGCAGACAGATAGGCTGAGGTGTCCACATATGGGTCCATGATACCCCAAATGTGAGACAAAACCAAGGTAGGAAAAGAAGGCAGAGGTTTTGGGGAGGCCTCTGTCTGAGCCTCCACCTCTCATGCAAAACTCTGTAAAGAGTCTGAGATTTCTAAATTCAAATCTGGCCTCCCCTGTCATTAGGAAGGTTTATTTGTCAAGATGGGTGTGTAGGGTATATTTTACTTTAGAGTAAATTATTCCACAGTTTATTATCTAGATTTCTAACCTTCTAAACATTGGACATAGGTAGATGGGCCTCTGTTTGTACTCTTCTGGCCCCAGCTATCATCCCTGTTACCAGTCAATCTAGGGCAGCCTTCAGGCCCAAGTCTTGTTGGAACGCAGCCTCACCCATTCATTATTGTACTGCCTCCAGCCGCTTTCATGCTATGAGCTCAGAGTGGAGTGGTTGTGGCTCCAACAGAAACCCTACTGCCTCCTGATTTAGGGTGATTAACTTAAAAACGTGAAGAAAAAACAAAGCTTAAAACAAGACCCAGAGAGTAAGAACTATAAAGGAGATTTATTTGTATTAAAACTAAGAACGTGGGTTCATCAAGAAAACAAAACAAAACACCACAAAGTGAACAGACAAACAACAAACTGGGATATGATATTGGCAACACACATAACTGACAAAGAACTCATTTACAAAATAAAAAGAACTCCTATACTCAGTTAAAAAAAAAAAGTCAAACACATTTAAACTGAACAAAAGTCAGACATTTTACAGAAGAAGAAACAAGTACTGCAATTATAAATATGACAACATGTTCTCATGTATTAGAACCAGAGAAACAAATTAAAATCATAATTTGGTATCATTTAATACTGAAAACATTTTCCAAATTTTAAAGTTAGACTTGGAGTAGCAGGTATTCTCATCATCTCCTGGAGAGGACTGAAATCAGTCCAACCATTCTGGAAGGCAGTTTATCACTACCAACAAAGAACACACGCATATCCTACAGGCTATCAAGGCCAGAACTAGGTATGGAAACTAAAAGCCAACTCTTAACACACGCATGCCAAGAGATATGTACAAAAATATTTACAGCAGTATGTTTTCTCAAAGAAGAACACCTCCTCCCCAAAAGGACTGCAAGCAGCACATATACCCATCTCAATACCTGAATGGATGATTATGGGAAGATTCACACTATGGACTACAATAGAGAAATGAAAATGAATGAAATACAGCCATAAATATTAATCTGGATGAATCTATAAAACAAAACGTTACATAACAAGCATGTATTCCATTCATATAGATTTCAAAAACAGCAAAATTAAGCAACACGGTCTCTAGAAATACATATAATCCTAAAACAGCAAAGGGAATGATTAACCCCAAATCCAGGATCATGGCTATCTGCAGGTGAGGGGGTGTGAGATACACAGGCATTTCTAAAGTCCTGACAATGGTGTCCTTGTTAATAACATGGGCAGTACTTACACTACTGTCTATTTCATTACTTTTCTTCAAACTGCACACAGATAAGTACATATGTTCCTTGATATGCATGACTTAATTCACAGAAAACAAAAACTTAAAAATAGCAATATAAACGTGTTTCCTGAGTCTGCTTAAGATTCAGGCCAGTTGAAACCAAGGGACTTTTGACAGCAAAATAAAAATCCATGAGTGTCTAAAAGAGCCCTTACCCTATGCAGCTTTTTCAGTATTTCTAGGAGAGCTTTAACGTGGTAGTTGTTCTCAGAGCTTTCGGTCCAGTACTGCAGCTGAGCAGTGATGGCTCTTTTAAACATCTGGACCAGCCTGATGAATGCGGGTTCCTGCAGAGACGCCCAGTACTCCTCTGAGGGATACAAAGGTAAGTCACTGTTGGCATGTCATTTCTCATATGTATCAGTTACAAAAAACACATCTGTGATAAACTTTTTAGTAAATACAACTGTAATGAAAAGTTTATGAATTTAATGTCCTCGAGAAAAATCCCTTGACAGTAACAAAACCACAAACTTAATCTAATTAATTTGTGGGAAAAATCCCGACAACATGAGTCACTTTTTTTTTTTTTTGCCCAGATAAAATAGCATGTGGTTTTAAAAACCGATTTAAGAATTAATCACAATTGCACAACTTTCTTTTCTCACTCCCAGCATGAGTTTTTAACTCTTAAAAAACACCGCTCAGGGCGCCTGGCTGACTCAGTCGGTAGAGCATGCAACTCAATCTCAGGGTTGTGAGTTCAAGCCCCACATTGGGCATGGAGCCTACTTTAAAGAAAACAACTCTGGGGGTGCCTGGCTGGGTATATAGAGCACGTAACTCTTAATCTCAGGGTCATAAGTTCAAGCCCCATGTTGGTCCTAGAGTTTACTCAAAAGAAGAAAAAAAAAACACAAGCACCTCTCAGCACTGTAAAAAACCAAAAAATGCTTTAAACTAGCTTTCCATCACTTACCTAGATTTAATAAAACATAAGAAAAAATGGACTTCCTTGAGCTGAATATGATGCTTGTGTCAAAAACCTCATTAAAATCTACTCAAGCCCCTAGACCTGACTTCCAGTGTACTCAAAATACAGGGAAAGGTACTTCAAGTGTACTCGAAATACAAGGAAAAGTGTAAATAATCAGACATATTTAGATGTAGGGGGTTCTACAGGACAACTGACCTAGACTCTTAACGGAAAAAAAAAAGGCTGTAAAATACTTTTGGGACAAGTGCAGAAATTCGAATATGGCCTGGATATTATGGAAATATGGACTAATTTTATTAGGTATGATAATGATGTGGCAATGTAGGATCTCATATTCTTAAGAGATGTATGCTGAAATAGCATGGGTGAAATGTCATGATGTTTCCAACTTACTTTCAAGTACTTCAGCAAAAATAAAAGGTAATCTGCTCAAAGAGGGAAGCACACATGGCAAGAGGTTAACGGTCGTTGGCTCTAAGGTAAAGGGGATATGGATCTTCACACACTGTTCCTTCAACTTCTACGTATGACATTTTTCACAATGAAAAGTTGAGAACAAAGGACCTCATGATCAAACACACACGTACCATTACAAGAACTCTAAAAAGGTAGTAAAACAATCTATTTTGGATGACTCTAATAATTACTACAGCACCTTTACAATATGCCAAGAATATGAACTAAAAAAAAACAGGAACATATTTACAATTACTTAAGTTTTGCTCTAACTTTAGCAGGGGTCCATTTCCACTGAGAGGGTGGTTAGAGTATTTTTAAATGTAAATTATCAGTCTTACCCAGAACCCCTAAAGATTGGTCACTCATGGCACAAACAGCCTCTGCAAACGGAATCACCAGGCTCTCCCAGTTGTTATAATCATGCATCATGGGACATTCAGGGAGAAGGAAGAAAATCTCTAAAGCTTCTTGGTGTGGAGAATGAAATGGAAGGTTTTTGAGCAGATTATCCCTGAGACATGTGGTTATCTGTGGTCAGAAAGGATGAGGGAAAAAAGACACTCAAAACACAGCAAGAACTGGATGCAACTTGTAATAAAATAAAATCTAGAACCTGGAATTTCATTCCACCAAGAAACTGGAATAATCATTCAGTCCTAAAACCCATGTTTACATCCAATCTCACATAGCCTCCCAACTACCCGAGGTGCAGATACGTGACAAGTGTTATCCCATTTAATTGCTGTACAGCATGAAGGTGGAGGAGAAGAAATCATCTAAGAGTTATACTGGATGAACAAGGAATTCAGAACTAACAGGCAGCCCTCCCAATAATAAATACTACATTCTACCCCCTCATTCCACTATCACACCTCATTATCTTTAAAGAAAAAGAACGTGTAAGAACCCCAAAAAGTAACATGTAATTAATAACGCCACACAAAAAAAAGCAGTAACTCCAGCAACATAAACCAACCTGGCTTCCTCAGAGGATAACCTGCCTCATCACAAACTCTCTCCACTACAAACTCAAGCTTTTAATCCTTCCAATCTCCATTTACCATTTCCCCAATTCAGAATACAAGTGTTCAAGAAAAATTCAAATGCAATTCTGAATGTTTATGTTAGATGTGCCCAGATAACAGAAATAATTTGTTTCAAAATCCAGTGAGAAGCTATACTTATTTGTAGAATACTCATTTGTCAGATATTAAGCTAAGTGATTTACATGTTAATTAGGTCATTTAATCCTTGTAGTTCTTTAAGAACATATATGGTATTATTAACCCCATTTTATAGATAGGAAATCTGTATCTGCTCAAGGGCACAGAACTAAGTGGGAACCTCTTCTGGATCTTTCTGACTCCAAAGCCCAAACTTAATTATTAAATTATGATATGAGCTAAATGAGATCTCTAAATGTACAAATTCTTATAATTACCTACTTTTATATCAAAACACTATGCCAGGCTCCTACTACATGGTTCAGTCTTTGGAGCGCACATACCCAACTACTCTATTTTACACCTCTCGGTATCACACACCCCTCCTACCTCGGTGCTCGTCAGCTGCCACATCACCAAACCTCCCAACCTCCCCCCAACCCTGCAGAAGTCTGTGATCCTCTCACTTCAGCCATCTCGTTCCACACACGTGTGCCTCAGGGTACTTCCCTGACTACCAAGAATGACCTTTCTGAGGTAGGCACATGGTAAACTCGTACTTCCTCTGGAGACCTTGTTTTGAGTACTCTAAGTAGAGATGACCATCCACTGCCCTAGTGATGACTGAATTCATTCATCCAGAAATATTTATTATTCACTAACTAGGTTCTAAGTGAGGCATTCGGGAAGAGAGTGGAGTGTAAAACACACCCAGTCTTCCCACTAATACCTGCATGTTTGTGTCTGTGTCCCTAACTGTTTTATAAAACAGGGAGCATGTCTCTTCCATTTTCACCAGGAGTCTGCACCACAGTGCCCTACACAGAGCAAGCATTCAAGTGTCTGCTGAGTAAAGAAATGAACTGCAAAAGTCTGTGAATCTGTGTCACAGAAACCTCAAAACAGAAACATTACAGGTCTTCTGAGCCAACTCTCTGGTCTGAAATAACCTAAGACTGGTCTATGATTATGTCGACTGCGTATCATACAATATTGTTCTCGCACAACCAGGGTATAATTAGCTCTAGTGAGGAATTGGCCCAAATTCTTCCCTCCACAGATGCAGAAGTGGTGATCTTCCTACTAAATGCTGCAGAGTCCTGATAAAGGTACGTAATTAGGGATCCATTTTACCTCAGACCCCTAATAGGGCCATGGTTCTGTCAAGGTTAACAGAATTAAACTTTTCATCTTCCCTCAAGAGAAAGCTGTGTGTGTAAAGAGACCCTGCAGCTCGGATAGAGAATGCTGGTTTTGGAGGATAGAGCAGGAGAACAGGTGAAGCAGGAGAGGAAGGAGGTAGAGGTGACAGGGAGACTGAGTGAGAAAGAGAATGAGACATACAGAAACAGAGGCCAAGAGCAAATGAGGAGGAGATGGGGGAGAGGGAGGGAGAAGGGAATGGGGGGGGACAGGGAGGAAGAAGGGGGGAGGGGAGAGGAGAAGCGAGCAGAGCGGAGGGGAGGGGAGAAAAGAAGGGAGAGGGGTCCAGAGAGAGAGAGAGAAATGGAACAAGAGTGAGACCAGGAAAGAAACAGATTGAGAGAACATAGGAAGTACTACCCCTAGATCAAGCAGTGTAAGAGAACAGAGAAATAAATAAAGGCTACATCAAGAAAGGCTAACCTAATAAAGGAAACATGTTTGGAGCATTTGGCGAAGTGGGAAACTAAAGACAATAATAACAGCACTGAAACAAAGCAGCAGCAATCCCCCAAAGAACATTCTAGAACCTATAGAAAGGAAGTGCAATAGAACAAAACAGAGAAAAAGAATCCAGGTAGTCCCAGGTAAGGGGGATGTTCATACCAAAAAGTGTTCTCATTTCTACACTTATGTTTAAAATAATTATAACTAACATGTTCGTATTCTAGTGTACCAATCTCAAGAAATCCTTCAATCATCTTCCTTATAGCCATGAGCTGACAAAATTCCCTCTATAGAGTGTATGCATCTATTTATAGGTGCGTGTTTGTGTGTGTGTGTGTGTGTGTGTGTGTGTGTGTGTGTGTACAGATGAACCATTTAGACTATTTGTCATCTATGTGACTACCAGAGCAACCATTTCACCGCCAAGGGGGCCAACTCCTGCATGCTATCTGAATTTCACCGAATCTGGATGTGCTACAGTCTTAGAGACTCTCCTGAAACAAAGTATTTCTTCTCAAATTCTGAATTCTTACAAAAAAATGTTTGTGTATTTTCTTTCTCTAAATAAGAATTTAAAGAATACCACCGTGTTAGCAATCCAGTCCTTCTGGGTTAACTCTTTAAAGGCGTTTCTTGCTTTATTTAAGTCCAAGTGAGTAAGCATTGTTTCCGCAGCTTTTCTATAGAAGGAAGATAAATTTTAAAAGTAGATGGGTAAGTAAATGGAACAGGACACTTCAAAATTAAATGTTTTATCAGATTATTTATCCAGATGAAGCATTTCTTCTAAACCTTATTTCATTTCAATAAAATTACTTTTTCCCTCAACTTTATAATAAAGGTAACTTGGCTAAATATAAATTCAATTGAAATGTAGTTGACCACTTGTATTATTTCTAAAAGGCTAAAAACTACCAAGACCACATTAACAATATATATACTATCCAAGTTTAACTCAGATATTATGTTATCTTAAATATTTATTTTACAAAAACAGCCACACACACTCAAAAAAGGTTTTTCCCCATTTCTGAAAAAAAATGACCATTTCTCCCAGTTACGTGAACTGAAAGTCAGGATCAAAAAAGGGGGCTTCAGGGACGCCTGGGTGGCATAGTCAGTTAAGCATCTGACTTGGTTTTGGCTCAGGTCATACATAAATGATGGAGCCCCACCTCAGGCTCCACACTCAGCATGGAGTCTGCTTAAGATTCTCTCTCCCGCTCCCTTTGCCCCTCCCACTCATGCCCGCTCTCCCTCTCTAATAAATAAATGAATAAACCTTTCAAAAAAGATGAGGGGGCTTCAGAGCAGTAAATTCTTAGTGTTGCAACAGAAAATTACTAATGAGGGGCGCCTGGGTGGCTCAGTCAGTTAAGCGTCCGCCTTTGGCTCAGGTCATAATCCCAGGATCCTGGGATCGGGCCCCCACGTTGAGCTCCCTGCTCAACAGGGAGCCTGCTTCTCCCTGTCTCTCTGGCTCATGCCTTCTCTCTCTCTCTGCTCATGCCTTCTCTCTCTCTCTCAAATAAAATCTTTAAAAAAAAATTACTAATGAAGTGTTTAAGTATCTTGTGAATTACATTCTTAACATATTTATGTTCAGTGTCTTAGAAATAGACACGTTGTTTGTAAAATAATACAAATATTTAGTGTCTCAAAATAGAAAACATTCTTAAGATAAATATATATTTAGGAAAAGAGGTGCAAAGTCGTTCTTTCATATTTAAAAATTCAAAGAAACCTTAACACCTTGTAATAGTAAATTGTTAAAGCAATTAAGGTATGTCCTTCCCATGGAATACCATGCAGCCATTAAAATTACATTAAAGAAAACTACTGAATAATATGAACTGAATAAAACAGGATATGGACAAGTAGATTAAGTATAAAGTAATATATAAAATAACAATCACATTTTTAGTAAAAAAATAAATTTGCACAAAAAAAAGAGATATACACAAAAGCTATTCCTCTTAAGTGGTGGATTATGGGTGATTTTCAGTTTTTTCTTTCAGTCACAGGTCTTTATTTTTGACATTTTCTACAGTGCGCATGTATTTGCTTTCATTACAAAAAGTTAATTTTTAGGGGTGCCTGGGTGGCTCAGTTGCTAGGTGTCCAACCTTTGACTTCTGCGCAGGTCATGATCTCAGGGTTGTGAGATCGAGCCCCATGTCAGGCTACACGCTCAGTGGGGAGTCTGCTTGAGATTCTCTCCTTCCCTCTCCCTCTTGCCTACCACCCCACACACGTGTGCGTGCTCTCTCTCTAGAACAGAAATAAAATTTTTTTAAAGAGTTAATTTTTAAAAAGACAAACACAGGGCGCCTGGGTGGCTCAGTTGGTTAAGCGACTGCCTTCAGCTCAGGTCATGATCCCAGGGTCCCGGGATCGAGTCCCACATCGGGCTCCCTGCTCAGCGAGGAGCCTGCTTCTCCCTCTAATGCTCCCCCATCTCATGTACTCTCTTGCTCTCTCAAATAAATAAATAAATCTTTAAAAAAAATAAAAATACAAACACAGAGCGAATTATTTTACCCTCATGCCATTTTCTTTACAATCTTTCATTTTATTGAAATACAATTGACATATAACATTATATTAGTTTCAGGTGTGTACAACATAATGAATTGACATATGTATATATATTGCAAAATAATTACCACATAATAGACGTCTAGTTGACATCCATCACCACATAGTTAAAATTTTCTTTTCCTTTTTTATAAAGATTTGAGAGGGAGGAAGAAAAAGAGAGAGAGAGCAAGAGCACAAGAGCAAGGGGCGGAAGAAGCAGACTCCCCGCTGAGCAGGGAACCCGATGCGGGGCTCAATCCCAGGACCCCGGGACCATGACCTGAGCCAAAGGCAGTCACTTACCCACTGAGCCACCCAGGTGCCCACCAATTTTTTTTTTATAATGAATACGTTCAAGATCTACTCTCTTAGCAACTTTCAAATATATAATCCATTAACTACAGTCACCATGCTACACACAGTATTTTTAACAGGATCTTAAACTTTATAAATACATTATAAGTATTACCTTTCCCTTAAAAAACTTCCAGTCAGACAAGCAGGAGATGAAAATATCTCTCTGATTTCCCTGTATTAGGAATAAGATGGTGGTTAAAACAAATCATACTGTATGCCTCCTTATAGCGTGAGATATGATAAATAAAACATCTCCTAACCATCCTTCAAACTTCTCTGTCTCTGATTTGTTTGCATTTTGCCTTGGGCATCTAAAAGTCTATTCCATTTTCCCAATCTCAAAATTTCAGTGGCAGATGTGAGTAATAAAAAGGTGTGTACTCAGAGAAGCCACAGGGAAAGAGGAAAAGGGCGGACCTAAGGTATGTCCTTGAATAAATAAGACATTCCCATCCCACCCAGCTCTCCAAGCCCTATCTATGTTTGTTCCACTTAAGCGGAACAGAAAAAAATTACCAGAAATTAAATAGCAGAATGGGAGTGAGGAGAGTAGGCTCAGTTCCAACTTGGAACTAACAGCACGAGTAGGTTTTTTTAAATTATTGGAGTACAGTTGATGGAGAATGTCATCTCGGTTTCAGGAGTAAGACACAGTGTTTTGACAATTCCACACATTAGGCAGCACTCAGCAAGGTGAGTGCAGTCACCAGCACAGTTCCTGACCGTCCATGCAGACTGTGATGCAGCTATTTTATACAACTACTTTTCACAATTAGGAAACCATATCTAAAAGTAGCTCTAAAAGGAAACGTTTGTAAAAGTATATTAAGATGGTAGGAGTTGTATCGTTTTAAGCCACGACTGCCCACACTGTTCAGCTGTGAAGAGGAGGTCCACAGATAAGTGGTTCCAAGTGTCAAAGAGTGTAGGGAAATGATACAGGTTGTATCTCCTACTCAGAACAGTCACAATATATGCAAACATATCAGAGATCCAGAGAGGTCCTCCAGTAAAGAAAGCTGCCCTCAAGGAGCTTACATGTTAGTTGTGATGTTCAATTTTAATGTGTCAACTTGGCTAGCCTACGGTACCCAAGTATCTGGTCAAACACCAATCCAGATGTTGCTGTGAAGATATTTTTTAGAGGAGATTCACATTCAGATCAACAGACTCTGAGTAAAGCAGATCACCCTCCATAATGTGGGTGTGCCTCATCCAATCATGGAGGGCCTAAAAAGAAAAAGGTTCCCAGGCATGGAGAATTCTGCCTCCAGGCTGCCTTCTGACTCAAGCTGCAGTACTAACTCTTCCCTGGGTCTCCAGCCTGCTGGCCTGCATTACCTATTTAGCCCTTGTCAGTTCCTACAACTGCGTAAGCCAACTCCTTAAAAATAAGTCTGTCTACACACACACACATACACACATACACACACACACACACACACGTCAGTTCCTCCAACTGCGTAAGCCGACTCCTTAAAAATAAATGTCTATATACACATACATACACATACACACACACCCTTAAAAATAAATCTGTCTACACACACACACAGACACACACATCCACACACCCCTATCTATCGGTTCAGTTTCTCTGAAGACCTCTGGCTGATAGACCATGGCGGACCACAAAACCTTACATCTCTTACTATGCAGAACCAGTCAGCGGGGAAAGGCTACTTTACAGAACTCTATAAGCAGAGAGCACAGGGGCTGTACCTTTTTGTATTTTGCCACTGTTTAGTCCCCACATCAGCAATCCACCTCTTTACGGTCCCTTCATTCAGTGTAGGAATTTTCCTCCTCAGATTAACATAGGGATTCTGTACATAAACAACCAAGTAAAACACAGCAATTTAGACACCACAGAAATAGGTGTTCAACTTTTAGGCACATTCTAAGGATACAGGGTAATACTGATTTTTTTTTTTTTTTGGTGGGGCTCGATCCCAGTACCCTGGGATCATGACCCAAGCCGAAGGCAGACGCTTAACGACTGAGCCACCCATGCGCCCCAATACTGATTTTTAAGTAAGAATAATATAGCTGTGGGAAATCCTGAAGTAAGATTTCACCAAGATGTAATCGATCATTTGCTTGCCTAGTCGTCAATTTCTTGTCCAAGGGGCTTAAATTCAAGGTAAATTTCTCTTGAGTGGTCCAACACTCAGCACTTCCTACAGGTATAATCAGATTAAAATGAGCATCACAGCCTCAAGGGGAAGATCCTTTGTGTAGGAGTGGGAGGAACCTGGTTTGCCTCAGGAAAGTAGGGGGAGGTTATGAACTCATGATTCACAGGCCTATGAACCTGGGGTCGTTTTTAGTACTGGCCAGCAAAATCATGTTAGAATGTCAACCTGATGGTTTGCTAGGATACCGACCTAATACCATTGGCAGGGCAAAGGAAAGATCTAAGGAAATCTGATTTGACACTTACCAGAGACAAATCTGCTGATTTCTTTGAGTCAATACTTATGTATTTTCGACAATAAAGGATCCATGTTTATTCCCTAAAGGTCCGCTTAGGAACTAGATGATTTTGGAATTCACCACACTTGGATCCTGAAACCCTTCAGTATGCTTAAAATACCAAGTTATAAAACATCTAGAGATCTATTTTTACCTTTTTTCCCATCCAGAGCAAAATGCTTTGATTCCCTCCAGCAATCAATATTAACTCCTTTTCTGAAGCACGGCTTTCTGAAAGGGAGACAGAAAAAGTAAGAGTGCAGAAAGTGACTGGCACAAACATGCACACTCAATTTAAATCATTTCAGATTCTTCTTAAACTTAGTCCTTTTCTCTTTATGATACACAGAGACAACACATTTCCCACCCATGAAGCAGAAATATACATTTCCTTCAGAGTAAAGTCTAGTTGGCAAACACAGGCGATCTACAAGGTTGACAGGTGACATCAGTCTGACATACATAATTAATGTAAACGCTTATATATAAAATAGTCAAACCAGTATTTGATTAGTTAGCTGATCCCTGGTTTAATTCAGCACTCATTACCAAAAGCCATATTCTACAACTCAAGATTTAACCAGTAACTACTGGTTATAAAGAATGTAAATAAGTACTTCAAAAGTCTAAGTGGTTTTAAGAAATCAAATATATGAGCTGCTCAAAGAAATAACCCTACTGTTCATTTTCCCAGAAGAACTTAAGAGGATTCTGGTACCTTGGGTCACCAACTAAGGTTTCAGAAGTATGTAACCAAAGTACTCTTGAGACAGTTTTGATAGCAGTGTGTTTCGGAGCTCTGTGTGGCTCAGGCCACAGTTCAAATCCAGCCAAACCACTGACTGGCTGTGAGAACTGGCTAACCCTTCACCCTCCAAGTTTCTGTACCCTCCAGTAAAATGAGCCTGAGAGCACACATCTCCCCGAACTGTTAAAGGACAGGTGAGGTAACACATGTAAGGGCTAAGCACAGTTAACAGTGCCTGGCACAGAACAGCTGCTTATCATTCTCGGGGGTTTAGGTGATTGTGAGTCAGTTACCAGGTGAAAACCAATCACCACGGAATTAATAGGTCTCCTGCAGCATATACCTCTGAATCCGTATCATCTATTTTATCTTCTATCGTTTTAGGGCCACATTAATCTTAATCTGAAGGGGTAAGAGAACACTAATGGTTATTTTGATTTCATTAATTATACTGAATATTTTAAGTTCTTTACAAGTAAAAAAATGAAACTCCCTTCTTAGTCATACATTTTTTTTCCTTGTCACATTACAAACTTAGAAAAATCAGTTTCTTGACAGTGGTATTTATGCCAAATCATGTGCTCCTACAAAATTTACCAAATTTGAGTTCTTCATTTGATGGCGATTTCATGGGAAGTGGTATCAGCTGATTATGTGTTCCACCGTTTCCCAGTTGTCCTTCTTTTCCAGAACCAAAAGACAAGACTTTCCCCAAATCAGAAACATAGGCAAGTGTGTGCCGCCTATTAAATAAAAGCACATACGGTCAATTCTCAATTATCTACACTGAAGACAGCACGCAGCAACACGGTAAACTGCTGAAATTAGGTTACCCGGTGAGTGAAACTAATTCCTGAGATGGAATTAGGTGATCCTTTCTGAGCTCCCTCTATTTCCCAAAGACCTTACCCATAACGATTCCCTTACTGATTGGCTCCATGGCCTCTCCCACTCTAGAACGCGTTAAGAATTTGCCTTTGTCCTCAGTTCCTGGGAGGTAACCTCTAAGCCCTTAGAATTTCCCAGGTGATAGGAGTGTCTTTGTTATTCATGGCAAGCTCCAGAGATCACACCTACAGTTGACCAGGTGGCTCAGGAAGGGCCCCTCTGGCTACATGGAAGCCCAACCTACTGGGAGGGAGAGGCTGGATGTACAGTTCACCGCCAGGGGCAATGATCCAATCAATCAGGACTAAGCAATGAAACCCCAATTAACTCTGGACTTGGGTGCGCTTCCCTGAACGGCAATACTCTACACATTGTCATGCTCTGGGCTGGGAGGAGGTAATACCATCCCATCCATGATTCCAAGGGGACTGGACAGCGGAAGCTCCTTGTTTGGACTCCTCCTAGACTCTGTCCTATACATCACTTCCTTTGGTTCTAATTTGTATCCATTTCTTATAATAAATGGGAATCTGACTTTAACAGTTTTCAGTGAGTTCTGAGCGTCTTTCCAGTGAATTCTCCTGTTGTTAGTAGGGGAACTGCCCTGGTGTGTATTAAGCTATCTCTTACATGAGACTCCTCTTCTAACAAATGCTACTTAAAAGAATGAGCGTTAAAAATCCAAGGTGGTGGTAATGTTCCCTTGAATGCAGAGAATCATACCATCCCAATAATCTGATCTACTTTAATAATATCCATTTATGTAATTTTACTCCAGGATCATAAAAGAATAGGTCTACAGACTGAAAAGTACATACACGAATTTTTTAAACAAAGGATTTTGGTAAACAAACACATGAACCCAATATTCAGATACAGGCTGAATTTGCCTGTTTAATAAGGAAGAATTGCCCAAAAGAAGAGTATCTGATTGAAAAGATTTCTTAACCTCACCACAACCCAAAATCCCACTGGTGAGAAATGGACTGAATGATGTTCAAGGAATAACTAAGTAAGCCAAGGAGTTTGAGCAAGTTTTTCTACTTTTATTTAAAAAAAAAAAGCTATAAAAAATCAAACTTATCAGAATATTCTACTCAAACCACCACTGACTTTGTCTTATCCTCTACTGTGATCACTCTGAAAAAATTATAGTAACAGTATGTTGGCCTGAGGGGTTGTGAGAAAGTCATTACATCAATGAATAATCCTTTGCGATTCATGTTTATTTTTTCCCAAATAAATGACATACTTTTCTTAAAGGTTAAAGTGTGTTTGAACAGTTACAAAGATATTTCACTAAAGGGGCAACAGAAAGTGAATAAATTTTCTCATTAAAAAAAAACAAAACAATGCAGGGCATGCTTGCCTGGCTCAGTCTGAGGAGCATGCAACTCTTGATCTCAGAGTTCTGAGTTTTAGCCCCACGTTGGGAAGAGATTATTTAAATAAGTATTTTTTTAAAAAGCCAATGAAGGGGCACCAGGGTGGCTCTATCAGTTAAGCATCTGCCTTCAGCTCAGGTCATGGTCTCAGGGTCCTGGGATCGACCCCGCATCGGGCTCCCTGCTCAGTGGGGAGCCTGCTTCTCCCTCTCCCTCTGCCTGTCTCCCCCCACTTGTGTACTCTCTCTCTGAAATAAAATCTTAAAAAAAAAAAGCCAATGAAAACAAATACATATACTAAAATAAAGATTATCATCTAATAATGTAAATTAAGCATTTTCACCCATGTGAAAATGTTTGATACTTTTATCTCAATCAAAAAAACTGATGGGAGTTTTATTAAACCACCTGTCTAAATTTATGGTATTGATTTCATCAATTTTCACAGACACATTACAACTTACCTTCCACATGCTATCTGGGTCACCCTATTCCCAGCGAGCTCAGTCACCAAACGGGGTCTTAATTCATTCTGTGTGCAATTGTGACCGAGTTGCCCATATTTTCCAGCACCAAAAGTAAATACCAGCCCATCCTAAAGAAACAAAACTTCTTATCAGATTCTAGAAAAATACAACAGTAAGCAATATTACTTAATAATAAAATATTACTGAATTCCGTGATATTACTGAATAATTAACAAACTGATAAGTGAATTAATAAAAGGACTATCAGGGGATCCTGGGTGGCTCAGTAGGTTAAGTGTCTGACTCTGCATTTTGGCTCAGGTCATAATATTAGGGTCATGAGATCAAGCCCCACACTGGGCTCTGCACTCAGAGTAGAGTCTGCTTCTCTCCCTCTCTGCCCCTCCCCTGCTTGTGTGCACACACTCTCTAAAATAAGTAAATCTTAATAAAAAAAAAAAAAAAACAGACTGTCAAAGCAAAGCCCCCAAATTATCAGGAGGACAATCCTGCATGTGGGAAGTCACCCTTCTTCTCAGGGAAATACTAGGTGCCCACATCCAGGTATTTTGTGCTTTTCCCACTACAAAGTTCTTCCAGAATTACCATCAGAGTCAAGGATACACGCACCGTTGTGAGCAGGGCAGTGTGAGAGCCACCACAAGCGAGAAATTCAACTTTCTGATTGTCCAGTGCTTCAATAAGGGAAGGAAAATCTTCACCTATGCAAGGAAAAGAACAGCTGACGTGATCCAAAGAGGACGCTGGAGTTCCGCGCTACTAGGAACATACCTGGACTGTCTCTCAGCTGGCAGCCACAGTTCCCAACACCTTCTGACAAGAAAGGCCTCTATGTTGGTATATTTATTTTGGCCTAAAATGGGGGTGAGGCAGTGGTCAAAGGGCCACACAGAGCAGAACTCATGTGGAAGTGTCAAGCCACTTCCCAGAACCCACTCTTCTCCTGTTAGCCTAACTTGATTAATTGCAGCATATCTGGTATTTCCAATTCCCATCTAAAATCACCCTTTTAATGAACATAAAGATTCTTTCTTTTCTTTTAAATTCTCTACAACAGTGTCCCTGCCCTACACTACCTCTCCTTTCTTCTCACGATTTCCTTGTCAAACCACTTAGAAGTTCAGCAAAAACAGTTTAACTGCTCTTTATTCCTTTCCCTCCTTTGCATATTTTTCTAACATTGACTGTGTGGTTGCTTCTAAGTAATTAGCACTGGGCCACGTGGGGGAAAGATGCAGTGTATGACCCACTAACCCAGGGGAAAACAGGTGCATTACCACAGCTGATAAAGCAGCAATTTGCCACACCTAAAACTCCAAGAGGGTATTCAGGATCGTAAGAAAGTTTGCCATCTGCTTTGTGGAAGCAGTTCGATAGTGGGAATTACAGGTTTTTTTCCACATCTGTGTATACAGATGTAATTGATACACTATAGACTAAGATTAGAATGTGAGTTTCTAAAGAGATTAGTAACCTTTTGTCATAATATGGATATACTTGTATTAATAGACATTTAAGTGCAAAGGCACTTCGGAGGTCATTTCACCCAAATGCATCACTTTATAGAAAAAGAAAATAAGGCCTAAAGAAAAGTTAAGTGACTTAGTAAGGGCCGGCCATTAGTTAACTGCGAAGTGGGAAGCCGAGTCCAGGTATTCCGATCAGTGCAATGCTCTTTCCCTTAGCCCACACAACCCTGACACATATCTCACTCACAGCAAGAATTTCCACACTATGCATGTCTCCTAGATTGCTTCTGCCCTGAAGACAGAGATAACCAGGAAGAACAGCACCAATGACCGTGAAGATCTGAACCATTTCTGACAGGGAGGCCTGTGTTAAATTCACCTCTTATCTAACAAATATATCTGATAATGTGAACTTGAAAATATGGTTCCATACCGTCAGTGTGGCCCAGGCCTAGTTGTCCCAAATCATTTCTTCCCCATGAGTAAATGTTTCCAGACATGGATAAGGCCATGCTGTGGGCTTTTCCTGCGGAAATCTGAACCAAGGGGACTCCTGAGAGGTTCTCCACAATCTGTGGTGTGGGGATTGAGGCAAACAGTCTTCCAACTCCAAGCTGGCCATGTAAATTCTGTCCCCATGCAAACAGCTCACCACCTTGACATCAACAAACAAAATGCTGCCTTATTAAGTTTAAAGTGCAGGAAATATTAACTTAGGGCATTATGTATGTTAGCCATACTATACTATCAGTCTCTTACATTCAACTTCCCCTATGTCTGAAACAGAAAAACTAGAAGAAACCTCTTTAGCAGTACTTCCTTACCTCCTGCCTCCAAGGGTAGAGTTTGTGTCCTGGCTTCCCCAAATCTTATCTTCCTAGATTGTGATGTACCAGTAATAAACCCTGACCACCCACCTTTGCCCCACATCACTAGATCGTGGGCTTCTTTAATGGTCATGTCCCCCTCAAAAAATATGTATGTTGAAATCCTAACCCTCAATGTGAAGGTATTAGGAGGTGGACCTTTGGGAGGTGATTAGGATTAGCTGAGCTCATCAGGATGGAGCCCTCAAGAATGAGATTAGTGCCCTTATAAGAGAAATTCCAGAGAGTTCTCTTGCCCTCTCCACCATGTAAGAAGACAGGCCCTCCACACAGACACCAAATCTGCTGGCACCTTGAACTGGACTTCCAGCCTCCAGAACTGGGACAAAGAAATTTCTGCTGTTTAAGTCAGCCAATCTATGGTATTTTTGTTATAGCAGCCCAAACGGACAAAGACAGGTAGAATGAAGCTACCTGAACATATTATAATCAAATTCAAGAAATGGGCCCATGAAAACCAGAAACATTCTACATCTGGTATCAAATTCTTTACTAAATCGCTTTAGGGGCGCCTGGGTGGCTCAGATGGTTAGGCGTCTGCCTTCGGCTCAGGTCATGACCCAGAGTCCTGGGATCGAGTCCCGCATCGGGCTCCCTGCTCCTTGGGAGCCTGCTTCTCCCTCTGCCTCTCTCTCTCTCTGTGTGTCTCTCATGAATAAATAAATAAAATCTTTAAAAAAAATAAATAAATCACTTTAGTTTTGTCATTTGACAGAGTACATTGTAGGAACAGTAAATAATGGAACCCTGGAGATTTTAATACATCCAAAAATTACTCTTTATTTTCTAACAAGTGCCTTGGGGTGCCCGGCTGGCTCAGTTGGTAGAGCATGTGACTCTTTATCGACTCTATCTCAGGGTTGTGAGTTCAAGCCCCATGATGGGCCTAGAGCTTACTTTAAAAAAAAGTACAAGTGCCCTGAACCATATCAAATTCAAAACCATTATTTTTGTCTGCTACAAAGTGAAGCAGATACATTCTACTAGTTCTACATATATACACATTTATTCCCTCTAAAAAACAGTATTCCAGAAAAGTACCTTTTGAGAGTGCAAGAGAATGATAATCTCCACATGTGATCTGAATTATACTTTTTTCTTGTAAAATGCACTGAAACCTGATGAAAGAAAATATATTTTATGTCAATCACCGCAATCGAAGTCACAACATCAATGTTAAAATTAATTGTATTTCATTGGAATTGAAGCTCAAAGAAAAATTTAAATTTACTGCTTCACATTCAGTACATCTAAAATTATAAAAAATACTATATGTGTTTTAATTGGTGGTTTAAAAGGAAAATAATGTGCACTATATATATAATTGTAATTAGGATGATTCCAAGTCTCTTTTGCAAACAATAATTGTATGATACAGGAATAACACAAGATGAAAGTAAGTTCTAATTCACATGATCTACTTGGAAAAAGTCTCACAAATCATTCCATGACAATGTATTTTTCTCCTATGTTGAAAACTTTTATTTCTGATAATCTAACTCATAATGAGGGGTAAATGAATTAATGAACGTGGAAGACCAATTTGGGGTGAGGCAGACTAACAACCATTTCTTTTAAATGTCAAAGCAAGGGGTGCCTGGGTGGCTCAGTCGTTAAGCGTCTGCCTTCAGCTCGGGTCATGATCCCCAGGTCCTGGGATTGAGCCCCACATCGGGCTCCCTGCTCGGCGGAAAACCTGCTTCTCCCTCTCCGACTCCCCCTGCTTGTGTTCCCTCTCTCGCTGTGTCTATGTCTGTCAAATAAATAAATAAAAATCTTTAAAAAAAAAATAAATGAATAAATAAATGTCAAAGCAAGACCAGATGTCTATGGGACATAACTTGGTTGTAGCTCACTGATGGAATTCACTGGTCATTTCAGAATTGTTTACGTAAGAGCCACTACGTAAAGCAGGGCATAATATAAAACCATAATACAAAAATTATGATTGCCTTTTGAGTACATTTTAAATAACTTTTAATAAAAGAAAAAGAAGTTCCCTACCTTGCATGTTCTATGCTATAGTTGTACTCAAATGGTTTTCCATCTGAGGACAGAATCAGCATGTGCTCTGCTCCTTGGTCCACGGAATGTATCTTCATTTTTTTTCCTAATTTAATGCACTCTGCAGAGCAAATCCAATCAGGAACTATCATCACTCTGGTTATTACCCATTATCATTATTTCATTATAATACACTTAAAACACCTGGAAAAAAATTTCAACTAGACAACCTTTGACTTAACATGAACCTCTCTTTAAAGAAAAATTCAAGAACAAAAGCAGACCAATAGCAATGACTATTGTTTTGACCCATGGATTTTTTTCAATTTGGGAAAGCACTGATTCATACTTTGTTTTAAATTGAATATAGTTTTGGGGCACCTGGGTGGCTCAGTCAGGTAAGCCCATCTCTTGATTTCGGCTCAGGTCATGATCTCAGGGTTGTGAGATGGAGGAGCGTGGCGCCTGCTTACATTTCTTTCTTTCCCTCTTCTTCTGTCCCTCCCCCCTCTAAAAAAATAAAATAAAACAAAATCGATATAGTTTAAAAATAACCAATTAAATATTTGCTTTTAGATTCCTGTTTAATAAACTGAGACAGAGAAATTAAATTTGAAGTGACAGAAATGAAAAAGTCTGTAAGAAAATATAACAGTATCTGGATGACATAACTCATTTTAGGAGAAAATATATATTGTATATTTTGAGATATACTCTTTCCAAAGACAAAACGAATAATAATAAAACTCTCCTCATTGCTCCACAAAGAAGCCAAGTTCTGTATTTTTAAAAGGAAGAATTGTGTTTGAGGACTAATTTTTAAGGAGACATGCTGTCAGAGTAATTTTTATTGGCATTATTGCATATTTAGCCCTTCCTAAAAGTTAAGAGACTTAAAAATTGTTCACAGTTACCATTTACGCTTATCTCATTTAATTTGTTCACAAAAATTGGATGTGGGACTTTACTTTTCGGTTCTAACCTAACCAAATAGAATTTATTCATGTAAAAATCTCCAAGCACAAATCTTCATATTAGAAATGCTCTGAGAACCAAAAAAGTTTGGTAATGAAGAAGAAATAGTTAAACAGTAATATTTTTCAGAGATCAGCATTTCCAACCAGTTGAAAAAAAAAAGTTACTCAAGAGCCAGGGAGGAAAAAAAAAAGGTTACTCAAAAAAGGTACTGACATCAGACTAGCCACTTGGAGAAACAAATCTAAGTTCCCCTACCTCCTTAAATCAAAATAATTTTCAAGTGCATCCAAAATTTTAACTTTAAAAATAAAAGCATAAGGGGTGACTGGGTGGCTGAGTTGGGTAAGCCCCACCGAGACTCTTGATTTCAACTCAGGCCTTGATCTCAGGGTCATGAGTTCAAGCCTCCCGTTGGGCTCCACCGAGCCTACCTAAAAACATAAGTAAAAGCTTAAAATTGCTATAAAGATGAGTACATTAAAAAAAAAAAAAACAAATCTTGAGTGTGGACAGCTTTGTAACACAAAATCCATAAGCCTTAACAGAAAAGATTAAGGAGACTAAAATAACATCAACTAAAGTTGGGAAAAACATCAACGTCTATGCCGGACAAAGGGCTATTCTTACTCAATGTTCAAATAACTCTTTCAAATAAATAAGAAAAAGATTACAACTCAATTTTTAAAAAGCCAGTCTAAGATATGAACAAACACGTCACCAAAAAAGGAATGCAAACGATCAACAGCAAAAAAAAAAAAAAGATGCTCGACTTCGCCCGAGTTAAAAGCATAACGACCAGTAAAATGCCATTTTCTTCACTCAGGAGACGGGCAAAATTTCCAAGATTAAGAATGGCCACTTGCTTTCCTCCACCTTTAAAATCGGAACCACAGTTCCTGACCTCATCTACGGAGACTGCCACCTCGGACAAGTGCAACTGAAAGCATTCTTTAAATCGTTTGCATATATAAGACATTATCGTTGAGAACAAGAGAACTATATTCTCCAAAGGGTCACAAAATCGGAGCCGCTGTGTTCTAAAGAGGAGTAAGTGAAAAGTAAACTTCAACAGAAACCAATGCTAACGGCGGACTAGATAAGAAGACGCCGCCTGCACGCGCGCTCCCTCCGCACCGGCTACTTGCAGACTGCGCAACCTATTTGCAGAGTGCGCGACCCAGTTCTCGCCACCAGCCTGCAAACTCCGCGCCAACTGGGAACGCGGATACGGGAGAGCTCAGGTGCTCGCACGCGCGAAATTTAAAAGCCACCCGGCCCGGCACGTTTCTGCGGCCACCGCAGACCAATGCGGCGTCGGGTCCCCTCCTGAGCTTCCCTTCGCGTTTAGAGAAGGACCGCCACACCAACCCTCGGGCCGCTCCGCAGGCGCTACACTTGGGGCCCCCGGCCGCCCACCCTCACACCCCCAGTCCGAGGCGGGAGGGCCGAGGGGGCACTGCCCGCCCCACTCACTCGGCTTCTTGGCGCCGTCGCTCCCCGCCGGCAGCTGGTGGACTTCGACGCCAGCCCCGCCGCGCTCCAACACCACGAGGCGCCCGCGCGTGCAGCACATCTGACGGGTCGCCTCGGTCCTCTGGGGCAGCGCCCTGCGGAGGCCCGCGGCACTGGGGAAGAGCCAGAGCTGAGTGCCCGGCGGCTCCGCAGAGCGCCGCGGCGCTGCGGGTCGGGGCGGGGGAACCGGCCCGGGAACCGGGCGCACGCCGCCCCGAGCTCTCCTTCGCGGCCTCTGCTCCATCGCCGCTTTCCCGGGCTCCACGGCCGCGCCTCGGCTCTCCGGACCTCGGAGGAGACGGAGTTCGCGAGAAAACCGACCCCGGCGTCGCGGTGCGCAGCCGGAGCTGGCAGACAGCGCAGTGGCGTCGAGGCACCGCAGCCTCAGCTGCTCCGCCCCCGCTCGGCCGCCGGCTCGCAACGTGCTGTTTGGGGGCGGAGCCCGCAGTTCCAATAGCAAGCGAAACCGTTGTGCTTGTAAGGGAGCGGAATCGAAAAGGAAAGGGAAACTCGAACGGGTCACCGAGGGCTTGGAAGGCTGCCAGAGTAAACAGGGTGCTGGCAGATGACGTGGGTGGGCAGGGCTGAGGGGGTGTCCGCCGGCGAGCAGTGGCCACCTGAACGCCTGACCTAGTGGCCTTGGAAGAAACACTGCAGTTCCGCTAGGAGGAGCAGTGATACAGGCCGACTTGCAGAATTTCCAGGAACTACTGTGGTAAGGAAAGCTAGTTAAGCATTCGGTTTCGGGCTCCGCCCCACGACCGCGAGGAAACTGAAATCGAGGGCAGCGCGGTCAGTCCCTCCGCCCGCACCGCGGTGCCTGGCAACCGCTGATGTGCTTTCTGTCAGTACAGTTTGCCTCTTCGAGAATTCCTTACAGATGGAGTCAAACCTGTGCAGTCTTTGTGTCTGTTTTTTTTTTCTCCACTTAGCGTAATGCTTTTGAGATTAATCCCGTGTTTCATCAGTAGTGGATCAGTCAGCAGTTATTGTTGAATGTTATTACGACAGATGAGTATACAGGGATTTAGCTGTTTATCCGTTCACCAATTCACGGACTTTTCAGTTCTTTCCAGTTTGGGGCTACGGTGAATAGAGGTGCTATGACTGTGAGCAAGTCGTGGAGTGGATAAGTGTTTTCGTTTCTTGTGAGTAAATACCTAAAAATAGAATTGCTGTATCGTATGGTAAATACATGCATGAATATGTTATAAGAAACGACCAGATCTTTCCAAGGTGCTATGCCGTTTTGCATTCCCTCCAGCAATTTATGGGAGTGCCAGTCCCTCTATATCCTTGATGACATTTGGTATTGTCAGTCTTTGTAATTATAGCAGTTGCAGTGGTCTGTACGTGTGTCTTACTATGGTTTTAATTTCCATTTCCCTAATGCTTAATGATGTTAAGCATCTTTTCATATGCTCATTAGTGCTAATCTCTCTTACTTGAAGTGTCTATTCATATCTTTTGCCATTTATTAATTTGCTTAGTATCTCAAAGTTCTTTATATATATTACAGTACTTTATGTTATATATCAAGGCCTTTGTTAAATATGTTTTGAAATGTTTTCTGCCAATCTGTGGCTTGTTTTTAAATTTTATTAAGTGTCTTTTGAAGAGCTGAAGTTTTTAATTTCAATGCAATTTATCCATTTTTCTCTTTTACATAGTTAATGCCTTTCTTTTTTCTTTTGTCTTAGGAAATCTTTGCTTAACCCAAGGTTACAAAGATTTTCTTTTCTTTTTTTTTTAAGATTTTATTTATTTATTTGACACACAGAGAGAGAGAGAGATCACAAGTAGGCAGACAGGCAGGCAGAGGGAGAAGGAGAAGCAGGCTCCCCAGGATGTGGGGCTGGATCCCAGGACGCCGGTACCATTACCCGAGCGGAAGGCAGACAGACACCCAACCGACTGATCCACCCAGGCGCCCCCAAGATTTTCTTATATGTTATCTTCTACAAGTTTTATAGTTTTAGGTCTTTGTTACATTTCAAATGAATTATTCTTTATGGTGTGAGATAAGGATAGAGGTTCATTTTTGTCCTTACAGATTTCCAATTGTTCTAGCTAGCCTTTCCCCATTGAATTGCCTTAGGGTCTTTATCAAAACTCTGTTGGCTATGTGTAATTGGATTTATTTCTGGACTAGTTTTTACCGTGTCCCCTCTATCTATATGTCTATTTTTACTCTTAAGACCACACTGCCTTGATTACTGTAGATTATAATTAAGTCTCAAAATCACTTCATTCAAATGCTCCACCATTGTCTTTTCTTTGGTGTTGTTTTGTCTATTATATTTATTTGTTTGTTTTGGCTATTTTAGGTCCTTCCCATTTCCATACATATTTTAGGATAAATTTATCAATATCTACAAAACAGACTGCAGGGATTTTGAAATTGCACTAAATTAAATCAGTTTGGGAAGAATTGACATGCTGATAATATTGATTCTTGGGTCCTTGAGCATATCTCTCCCCATTAATTTCTTAAAATTTTAAGATTTATTTATTTGAGAGAGACACACACACACACACACACATACACACACAGGGGAGTGGGGGTAGTGCATAGAGAGTCTCAAGCCAACTCCTGGCTGAACCCAGAGCCAGATGAGGGCCTCCATCCCACGAGGCAGAGGTCACAACCAGAGCTGAAACCAAGAGTCCAAGGCTTAACCCACTGTGCCACCAGGTGCCCTTCCCCATTAATTTAAAGCTTCTTTAATGTCTTTAAGCAGTATTTTCTAGTTTTCACTGTACAGTTTAATGTGTTGTGTTAAAATTATCCTTACTTATCTTTTGATATTACAAATACTTTTTAAATTTCAACTTATGACTTGTTAATGTATGTAAGTAGTTAATTTTTATATATTGACCTTGAATCCTGAGACTTTATATTTACTTAATGCTTCTGGTAGGTTTTTGTTTTGTTTTTAGATCCCTTAGGATCTTCTGCAGAGAACGATGTAGTCTATAAATAAGATAGTTTTACTCCTTCCTTTCCAATCATTATGCCTTTTCGTTTTTTCTTTGCCCTCCTACATGGACTACTACTCTAGTACAGTGTTGTACTAGAAGTGATGAGAGGCAACCTCGCCTTGTTACTAGTTTTAGTAGGAGAGCATTTAGTCTCTTACCATTTAAGTGTAAGGTTAGCTCTTTGTAGGTTCTATCAGGTTGAGGAAGTTTCCTTCTGGTCCTAGTTTGCTAAGAATATCACACATGAGTGGCTATTGCAATGGTCAAATTTTTTTTCTGCCTTTATTGAGGTAATTATGTGATTTTTCTTTGCTTTATTACAGTGAGATATAATAGATTTTTTTAATTGTATTATGTTATGTTAGTCACCATACATCATTAGTTTTTGATGTAGTGTTCCATGATTCATTGTTTGCATGTAACAACCAGTGCTCTGTGCACTACGTGCCCTCCTTAATACCCATCACCAGGCTAACCCATCCTCCCACCCCCCTCCCCTCTAGAACCCTGTTTGTTTTTCAGAGTCCATAGACTCTCATGATATAATAGATTTTTAAGAGCATTTCTGGACTAAACTCCACTTGGCCACAAAGTATTATACTTTTTATATTTTGTTGGATATGTTTGATATGTTAAAATCTTGGAAAGGTTTTTTGTGTTTCTGCTCATGAGAGATATTTGTACTTTTCTTTTCCTGTAATGTCTTTGTCTGGTTTTGACATTCGAGTAATGCCAACATTGTACTTAATTGGGAAGTGTTTCCTCTTCCTGTGTTTTCCTTTTTCTTTTTTTAAAGATTTTATTTATTTTTTAAAGATTTTATTTATTCATTTGCCAGAGAGAGAGCACGGGAGAGAGAGAGAGACTACAAGCAGGGGGAGCAGCAGACTCACTGCTGAGCAAGGAGCCTGATGCGGGACTCGATCCCAGGACCCCGGGATCATGACCTGAGCCGAAGGCAGACGCTTAACCGACTGAGCCACCCAGGCAGCCCTAAAGATTTAAGATTTTATTTTTAAGTAATTTCTATACCCAACGTGGGGCTCAAACTCACAACCCCAAGATCAAGAGTTGCATGCCCTTCTGACTGAGCCAGCCAGGCACCCCTCTTCCTTTGTTTTCTGAAAGAGTATGTAAATAATTACTACACTAGGGGCGCCTGGGTGGCTCAGTCTGTTAGCGTCTGCCTTCTGCTCAGGTCATGATCCCAGCATCCTGGAATCAAGCCTGCATAGGTTCCCTGCTCAGCAGGGACTCTACTTCTCCCTCTCCCTCTGCCGTTCTCCTTGCTCATTCTCTCTCTCTCTCTCTGTTTCTCTGAAATAAATATATAAAATCTTAAAAAAAAAAAAAAAAGAAGTGCTACGCTGTCTTCCCTAAATATTTAGCATAGTTCATCCATTTGCATTAGAAAAATTTATGTTGGAGTTGAAAGGCCTGAAAAATACAACCTAAATCAAGTGCCTAGGGATCCCTGAGATTTAGAGCTTACCTTTTCCCTTAAAATTCAAATAGAATACATCTGGGCCTCCATTCCATTTATTATAGAAACCAGATGTGTCAAAAATAAATCTGAGGAGGGCGCCTGGGTGGCTCAGTTGGTTAAGCGACTGCCTTCGGCTCAGGTCATGATCCTGGAGTCCCGGGATCGAGTCCCACATCGGGCTCCCTGCTCAGCGGGGGTCTGCTTCTCCCTCTGACCCTCTTCCCTCTCGTGCTATCTCTTATTCTCTCTCTCTCAAATAAATAAAATCTTTAATAAATAAATAAATAAATAAATAAATCTGAGGATTCCCTGGGGCTTGTGCTCCTACGGACCACCTCACATCCTAGTGTCCTTAGTACATTCTCTATCTCTGTTATGTCTGTGCTCTGGTGATCCTGCCCTCTTTCCACATCACCACCCCGACACGGACTATACCCCATGGTCTTTCCTTTCCAAAAGTGCCACCGATACAAGGCTTCTCTGTATGGCTTGCCATAACAACAGGCATTTATAGAATAGCATACAGTTTAAAATTTAATATATGATAGAACTGGTCTACAAAACTCATTGGCCATTTACAGCCATATTTCTTTCTCTCCTTTAATTCATTCCGTAGCCATATTTCTAAGACATATTTCATGTTACTCATTTTCTCCAACTACCAATAGACAGGAGTTCCTGGTTGGGCTCAGTGTTTAACCAAAATAATGATATATGCATTTAGAATAATTCTTGGAACACAGTATTGAGCATGAGTAATTATTCAATGAATTAACAAATCCTTTAACATTTAGATTTTTCAAATAAATTACTCAGCAGTTGGTTAAAATCAAAATTCTGGAGACATTCTAGAATATAAAATATATATTTACATGCCTCAAAAACATTTGAATTATTTTTTTTTCAAGCTTCAGTATATCTTTCATATTTGCAGACAGTGTGTTTATTAGATATACAATATTTTTTAAAATATCTGTTAACTTTTAATATTCAGCTTATTTTTAAATGATAATTATTGTTCAGGAATAATTCAGTAAAAAGCAAACATTCTGATAACAAATTTAGGGATCAAGAAATGTTGATTCATTTTAAAAAATTACTTTTTTTTAATCACTCTTGATTCATCATTTTATTGTTTATATCAACATTTGTCAACTAATTCTACCTAAAACCTATCAACCTTTGTGCTACTTAGACCTAAGGAAGAACAGAAGAGTCAAAGAGAGGGCCTGAGGCTCTGAGGCCTCACTGAAACTGTCCAAATCACTGTTGCTCTGTGACTGTGACAGAGACAAATCCTCTATTGCTGTTGATGGCTACTTGAAGGGCTTCCTCCACTTTTTCCATTGTAGAATATTTAGGAAGGTCCAGAATATTATAACAGGTCAGCGCTCTTGGGTAATCTGTTTCACTGAAAGTTTCAGGACAGCGAAATAGGATTCCTGTTTTCTGTTTGCCTCTTACGTGCAGCCTGTCATTTCCGCTAAGAAAAACTAGAAAGGAATAAATTTTGGTTAAGATATTTCATAGAAAGAGCAAAACGTAAAATGAAAAGGAAGAAATGAATCACTTCATTCAATAAATATTACTGAGTACCCTTGTGTCGAGAGAACCACACAGGGCCGTGTGGAGCACAGAAAAATCATGACATCTGGTCTTGGTTCTCAGTGAGTTCATGCTCTAATTGGGGAAAACCACGTACAGGAAAAGAGAAGAGCAAGATACATGGAAGTTTAATTTAGCTCAACTAGGAAGTCTGATGTGAAGAGGCTAACGAAGGCAGCATCCGGCTGGGCGAGCAGGGATACTACAGGCGTCACATCTGGCTAGTTAGTTCTCCAGGAAAGGAGTTGGGTAAGCTTTCAAGGCAGAGGGGGAAAGCCCAAGAAAAAGCCAGAGGTAGGAAGATGTAAGTAAATGCACTGAATACATAGACAGTGGAATCAGTGGGCTGAAGCAAAAGTTTCCCATTAAGAGAGAAGATGAGACAGGTAGTTTGGGCTTGTGGAGAAGTAGTTCAGGTTTGTGAAGTTGGAATTGTCCTCCAGTGTCCTCGGGAGCAACAAAAATAGCAAGAAGATGTGTATCTCCAGAATGACTGAAAAATGGGCGGTGAGAGAATAAGTCATTAAATCTGCCCTAGGGAAACTTTACTGTTCCCACCAAGAGAAGTTCTTGTACCACAAGGCCACAGTTTAGTGGTTCAGAGACTTGGCTTTGGATCAGCCTGTTGGGTTCAGAATCTGTTTCTTATGCTCACCAGCTGTCTGAATAGAGGCAAGCTACTAAATGTACCAAGCCTCTTTTCCTCAGATCTGAAATGAGGAAAAAAATAAGTACCATACCTCAAAACATGGCTCTTAGGATAAAGGGAGGTAACAGATATGAAGTGGTCACTACAATGCCTGCCATAGAGTAGGCACACTTTATAAAGGCTGTTAGTATTATCATCAGTGGTCATTGCTATTAGTATTATTTCTAAAATAGTTTTAGAGAAATATACATAGTCCTAATTCCATAGGACTTAGATAAATAAAGATAGGAATGTGAGAGTAAAGGCTTGATTAGGAGGCAACTAGTGGTATCTTTTTCATTATTTTTTTTTTTAAATGGGAAACCAGGCTTATATAAGAGAAAGAACATTAGCTTAGGAAGCCTGGCTTTGCTGTTGACACGTGTGACCTACTATTAATAATGATTTCATGGCGGAGTGCCCGACTGGCTCAGTCAGAAGAGCATGCTACTCTTGATCTTGGGGTTATGAGCTTAAGCCTTATGTTGGGTGTAGAGATTACTTAAATAAATAAACTTAAAAAAAAAATTTAATAATGACTTCATGGCAAATATTTATCTTTTATTTTTTTAAAAGATTTTATTTATTTATTTGACAGAGAGAGACACAGCGAGAGGGGGAACACAAGCAGGGGGAGCGGGACAGGGAGAAGCAGGCTTCCCACGGAGCCGGGAGCCCGATGCGGGGCTCGATCCCAGGACCCTGGGATCACGACCTGAGCCGAAGGCAGCCGCTTAAGGACTGAGCCACCCAGGCGCCCTGCAAATATTTATCT